CATTTCTATTTAATCAAATTAAATATGCTAATGCACAATTATATGCATTTCATCATTCCCCTTATCTGTCATATAACAAAATACAATTTAGAAATTGCATATTACAATATGTACACATTACAGGTAGTCCTCAACTTATATTTAGTGGCCGTTCAAAGTTATGGCGGCACTAAAAAAAAAAAGTGACATGACCATTTTTCACACTTACAATCGTTGCACCATGGTCATGTGATCAAAATCCAGAGGCTTGGCGATTGCAGTGTCCCAGGGTCATGTGATCACCTTTTGTAACCTTCTTACAAGCCAAGTCAATAGGGAAGACTGATTCACTTAACAAACGTGTCATTAACTTAACAACTGCAGGGATTCACCTAACAACTGTGGCAAGAAAGATCATAAAGTGGGGCAAAATTCACTTAACAAATGTTTCGCTTAACAACAGAAATTTTGAGTTCAGTTGTGGACTACCTGCACAATATTACAACTTTTGGAACTCTCTGGAAGTTGCATCAAACTTTTGAAAACTACTTGCTATCCTGGACTTATTGTCCAAATCGGCTAAGGTTGCATTTCAGTTGCAGATGAAGCATGATTTTTCAGATCTAAATTAAGTGGACAAACTCCATGAATAAATCATTTCCACTGTAGAAAATATCCGTCTATCACAAGCAAAGCTCTGCAGCTGTCAACAGAAGGAGATTCTCTGTTGTTCCTGGCCTCATTTGATTCTGATCCCGAGACAGAGGAACAGCTGAAGTCTCAAAAAGGAAAATGGGGATGTCCAGCACTGAAAACTGAAACCATGACATTTGCCTTAAATAATTTCTGACCAGCAGCCAAATATGCAAAATAAGTTTTGCCTACCAAGGGACAGTATCCCTTTTCCTCCCACACTTGAATCAGCCTGGGAAGAAATTTCCAGTAGCAGCTAGCTGTTTATTTAGCTAGCCTTTCCTTCTGAATGAATGCAAAAGATTTGATTCTCCAGATGCAGAACATATTCTTTCTAACAATCCAATAGCCTCTCTTCTGCTCAGGATTTTCCCAAAAGGGACCGGGTAAACAGGTAGCCGCCTACAAATGTAGTAACTTGCAATTGTACATTTGGGTGGATGAGCAATAAATTAGAACCTCTTTAATTTATAATCTAATTAATCATAGTCATAGATGTGTATATTTTCTAAATCAGGCTACTAGTTTTGCTCACAAAAAGTTTCATATCAGCTATATTCAATTTAAGAACAAATGTATTGCAGATTGATTCTACTATCAATTCTGATATGATGAAATAAAATTTCATTTATTAAACTCTAGTTTTATCTCTACTTCTAAATTGCTTATTGATGGGGAATGTATTTTATGGGTGCTACTACACCATACATCTTGATCTGTCACTATTCTCAAACTAATCAAATATTTCCCATTTTAATATTGTGGGGTATTGCCTTTTAACTTGCCTTTTATCTTATTTTTATTGTGATTATCAAATGGTTATTCTCATGTTTGTTTAGCTGTAAATTGCCAAGTATTTCTAGATTTTTGCAATATACAAAGACTGGAATAAAAATAATGAATCACCTCTTTAAAATTATTATTATAGTGTACAGTACTTTCTATTGGTTTTTCCTCTTAGAAATAATCCTGTGATCACGTATTGCTCCTGAATTAACTTGGGTTGCCTATTGTAATTTGTTTGCTCAGTAGAAGAGACTCAATGCTGATGTATTTTTCTGCAATTGTGTTTGCATAACTTTAAATTAATCGTGTTCTTCTTAATTACCCCAATGGTACCCCAGTTTAGACAATATATTCAGTCATAACTAAGCACAATTCCACAATTCCTGACTTTACACAACATTCTAGGCTAAATGTAACTGGTTGTTTATGGTTCAGCATTTTGTGCCAATACAGCAGCTACTGTGGAACTGTAGTCAAACAATCCACTGTATTCTTCCACAAATGTCATAAATCTGTATCCATATGGGTAGATAGGCTGTATTTCTTTCCAGGAATCAAGCTGCAACATCTCACAAAATGAATATTATAAACAATCTAGCAATCTAGCCCATATTTATTCAACAGATGAACTGTTGTGATTGATGGCTCAGCGTATGTGTTTTAAATAGGGATTGGTCCAAAGAAAGGCAATGCCAAAGAATGTTCAAACTATCACACCATTACACTTATTTCACATGCTAGTAAAATTATGCTTAAAATTCTGCAAGCTAAGCTCAAGCAGTATGTGGATCGAGAATTACCAGAAGTACAGGCAGGATTTCGAAGAGGCAGAGGAACTAGAGATCAAATTGCCAACATATGCTGGATCATGGAGAAAAATATCTACTTCTGCTTCATTGACTATGCTAAAGCTTTTGATTTGTGTGGATCACAACAAATTGTGGCAAGTTCTTACAGAGATGGTAGTACCAGACCATCATATTTGTCTCTTGAGAAACCTATATGTGGGTCAAGAAGCAATAGTGAGAACTGGACACGGAACCACCAATTGGTTCAAAATTGGGAAAGGAGTCCGGCAAGGCTGTATACTGTCACCCTGCCTATTTAATTTATATGCAGAGCACATCATGAGAAAGGCTGGGCTAGATGAATCAAACGTTGGAATTAAGATTGCCAGGAGAAATATCAACAACCTCAGATGTGCAGATGATACCACTCTAATGGCAGAAAGTGAAGAGGAACTAAAGAGCCTCTTGATGCAGGTGAAGAAGGAGAGTGTAAAAGTTAGCTTGAAACTCTACATTAAGAAAATTAAGATCATGGCATCCTCTCAATTCCTGGCAAATAGATGGGAAAGAAATGGAGGTAGTGACAGATTTTATTTTCCTGGGCTCCAAGATCCCTGCAGATGGAGACTGCAGCCAAGAAATTAAAAGACGCTTGCTCCTGGGAAGGAAAGCTATAGCAAATCTAGATAGCATTCTAAAAAGCAGAGACATCACCCTGTCAACAAAAGTGTATATAGTCAAGGCCATGATTTTCCCAGTTGCAATGAATGGCTGTGAAAGTTGGACCATAAGAAAGGCTTGAGTGCCAAAGAATCGAGGCCTTTGAACTATGGTGCTGGAGAAGACTCCTGCGAGTCCCTTGGACTGCAAGGCGATCAAACCGGTCAGTCCTAGAGGAGATCAACCCTGACTGCTCTTTAGAAGGCCAGATCCTGAAGATGAAATTCAAATACTTTGGCCACCTAATGAGAAGGAAGGACTCACTGGAGAAGAACCTAATGCTGGGAAAGATTGAGGGCAAAAGAAGAACACGACGTCAGAGAACGCAATGGCTAGATGGAGTCACTGAAGCAGTAGGCATGAGCTTAAATGGACTCCAGAGGACAGTAGAGGACAGGAAGGCCTGGAGAAAAATTGACCTTGGGGTCATGATAGGTCAGACACAACTTCGCAACTAACAATGACAACAAAAAAGTCTTAAGGACTTTTTCCCTCACACCTCTGCAACTCCCCTGACTTCACCTCTCTTACTTTACCTGTAATAGCTAAAAACTTCACACTGTGAAAACTGCAAATTCATCTAGACCACGGGTTTCAAACTGGTGGCTTTTGGGCCAGATGCAGGCCACACCAACCCCAGCTCCGCAAAGGCAAAAAACGTCACGATACATCACTTGATGCAATTGAGTTTGACACCCAGGACCTAGACTTTCTGCAACATAAATCTTCACATAGATTAAAAACAAAAATTCTATCCTCAAAGTACATCATCCTGGTTGGCCCCACTCATTTAACATAGTGCCCACTGCAATCATTACTCCCTTCCTCAAATATTAAGGTAGATGCTGGTCATCAAAATTTCTCACCCCTACTTTACAGTGTAATCCAGGGGTGTCAAACTCAAGGCCTGGGGGCCAGATCCAGCCTGTGGGGTGCCTAGATCTGGTCCATGGGCCCACCCTGGAAACAACGAAGCACCAGCTCATGGTGCCTCTGCTAGAGAAAATGGAGCTTGGGAGAGCCAGCGCAGCCCACCCGGGCTATGTTTTTCGCCATGACAGCTTCCTGCAGCCCTCCGCCAACAAAAATGGAGCTGAGGCGGGTTGTGCATGGCCTCCCTAAACTCCGTTTTTGCTGGCAGAAGGCTGTAGGAGGCCGTCACGGCCAAAAATGGACCCTTGATGAGTCTCATCGAGCTGGCCATGCCTACCCTGGCCACACCCCTGCTCATGCCCCCCAGCCCCCTGAGGTCAAACACAACCCTGATGCGGCCCTCAATGAAATCGAGTTTGACACCCCTGGTGTAATCCATTGAGTATTACAAATGTGTGTTGTAGGAGAGCTGTATTAGTTTGTAATAGCAAAAAAAAAAAAACAATCAGAAAAAGACTGGTGGCCCCTTTCCCAACCAATGGATTTTATCAAAAGACATGCAACTTGTGAAAGCTTATGCCTTTCAAAAAACAAGTCCTTAGTCAGGAAAGATGTTACCAGACCTCTTCTGAAACATGGGCATTCTAGAAAGACAGGTGTTGGTTCCAAACCAGTGCCTCTTAATTCTATTGACGTATCCAGAAATATTGCAGTTGGTAAAATAAACAGAGTGCAAATTCATTAAGGTAAAAAGGCAGGGATTACTGATTTCATGGTATATCTTGGTATATTTATTGGACAAACTGTTATTCCACCCTTCCAGTAAATTTCCTGTGCATCTGTGCATGGTTTTGTGCAATTAGATCACCCTTTTAAACTTTCATCCTGATGAGCAACTGTTGGTTGCTATAACAGAGTCTCTCTTAACAACAATAAAGCAGGCAAATCCAAACACAAAACAGCCAGCAGTAGTTAATTGTGGAATTTGTTAACAACTCATGACCAAACCATTTCACACCCTGAGTGGGAAGCGCCTACATACTTCTATTAAGCAATAGTTCAAAAATTAAGTAATCATTGTGCGTATCTCTTTAACAAGAAGAAACAGAGAAGTAACTCCTCCTACAGGATGTTGGCTTCCAAAGGAAAAAGGAGGCTTGGAACTCATATAACCTGACTTCTGTAGTGCAACTGAGCTTTTGCTTTCTGTTTTTACTTCTCTCAACCTCAGAATTGGGCTCTTGTTGCTAGGAACTACTCAGAATTTTAGGATGGCCCAGCAATTTGTAGATAGTCATATTGCACCTGATAAAGTGGTTGTATTTGGAAAGAACAGTTGCCCTTTCTGTAAAAGTGCATTAGATCTTCTGAAACAAATTAATATCAAGCCTGGCCACTTGGAATATATTGATCTTGCACGCCAAAAGAATATGGATGCCATTCAAGACTACCTTATGCAGTTAACGGGTGCCCGAACGGTGAGTTTCCTTTAAAAACAGAGTGAAAGAAGAATGTTATAACTAAGAGTGAGATCATGTGTTTTGCCTTCTGAGTGTATAAGGAAAAGGTCTCTGTTTTCATGTGGCTGTTTTCCAATAATATAACTCACATAATATGTTCTTTTAACAGTTGAACTGTTGGTATAATATTGCTTTTCCAACAAGGTGAAATGTGGATGAGGAAATAGCTGAATAAGTATCTGAAACAAAGTCACCAGCTACAGGATTTGTGTCTGGATCATATTATGTAGGTGGATACAATGAATTTTAGGCTGCATTCCCATATGTAAATGGGGTTTATTTGGAGCTAGTTTATGTGTTATGAATCAACCCAACTTCTGCAGTTTGTAAACTCTGGTTTGGGTTTAGTGAGATGTGATAAATGTAATAAACTTTGAGATTGCAAAGGGAAGCAATACTGAGCTCTTACAGCTGTTAACAAAGCTCAGAAAAATGGATGAAGTGAGTTATGTGCTCTTTGTGTCTAAATATAGCTTGTTTCTTCATCTGGTTCCTCAGAATGTAAAGTGCTCAGAGCAGTGCTCCATTCTGTCTTTGCAAAATCCTTAACCTGGTGTCTTAGACTGGGAGAGGTAAAATTTGAATCCTGGATCTATCTTTGGAAACAGCACTATTTAGGGACCAGAATGCAATATCTCTTTGAAGTTACGGGAATATAAATGACTATAGACAACCCATGATGCATTGAATCATTCTTTCAGAGATAAACTGAATAACCACAGGGGGGGGGGGAACAATGGGAAAGGGAGTAACTTCTGACTTCCTGATTAAGATTTGCTTGTGGGAAGCTGGCAGAGAATATAAGAAATCATTCCTCCTTCTCTTTAGTTAACCTGTAGAATTTCCTGCCCCTTTCCTTGCGGGGGAGGGAGAGAAAAGGACTGAGGACTATGAGGACAACTGCATCCCCACTCCCTATCCCTCCAGGGAAGAATCACCCATTGACTGATAGCATCCCCCAGTCAGCCCTACCTTACCAGCAGGCATCCAAGTCACTGCCTTGTCCTTCCCTCACTGCCCTCACTATTAAGAGATTTCAAATTTGTGTCTCAATTCCAAAGCAGTCAATCACTCTTGCCTGTTGGGCCTTACCACCAACCAATTCCACAGCAGCCAGAGGGGAACAGAAAAGGGGGCAGAAAAGAGGGCAGGGATATACCTCTCCCATCTTCTCTTATACTGTGTATCTATGGTTTTTGGGGAAAGGTAGTCCCAAATGTAGTTGGAAGAAGCAGTGGTGCTGAAACAGCAGCAACTTTGCCAAATTTCAGTCCCATGGTAGTAGTGAGTCCCGGATTTTGGATGCATTCTTTAAGTCAGCCCATTTGTGGTATGTTAATTCAAAAATTGTTGCACTGTGATGCATCTATTTGTCTAGTTGAAGGTTACAAACACAGAGTTTTAGTGGTATATAAACCAATATATTGTTTTTAACTTTTGCAAGACAACTTTCTCAGTGATTATTCTGGGAATTGTCTGGGATGGTGAACCTTTTCTGGACCGAATCCCCAAAATGCAATGTGTGCGCAGTCCCACATATGTGCTCTGTGTATGCACGCTCAGGGGGCCTGCATAGCCCTCCACATGTGCCTTGCCCCCAATGCATGCGCGCATGGCCTGCCCACACATGCCCTGCGCATGCATGACAGAGACCCAACAACCAGCTGGCTGGTGGGATGCGCGCGCGCATGCAGAGCAGAGCTGAACTGGGGCGATGGCTCGCATGCCCACAGAGAAGGCGCTGCATGCCACCTGTGGCATGTGTGCCATAGGTTCGCCATCATGGATCTAGTGGATGCTACACTGATAAAGGTTGAGGTACATTCACATATTACTGAGTAAGTGGAAATATCATTTGGTGAGGGAAAATTGTTGTTGCTTTTTCCTAGTCATGGGGTGCATTACTTAGAACAGTTGAAAAATCTACAAAATAGAGTTTTGTTTCTTTGTGGAAAATATAGTGTGTTCACTCCATAATCTTGGAAGTTCTACAACTTAACTATGACTAGTATGCAATGAAATAGAGTATTTGAAATATTCCGACACAGCAGACATACTTAATAGGAAAATATTGCATATGTGTTCTGAACCAGCTGCATTGCATATAATAAGTTCTGTATTATATAAGGATGAAGTTCCATATAAATTTATTTCATATTGCAGTGAAGAAAACAGAAAGCCAGATTCCTACTTCCTGTTTACAGCTATGTAACTAAAATGTTTCTTTATATGCAAAGCAAGAGCCAAATAGATTTCTCTGCCTTCAGAACACAATACATGACAAATAGGCCTGGGGCATTTCAGCCCCTCCCGAGAATAGCTTCAAGCAACTAATGTGAAACCAACTTGATACCTTTTTTACTCTCTCGCTTAATGGTTGAAGTATCCCTTCCCTTTGCTTGTCCCAAGAAGAGGAGGCATTGTAGAGTGAAAGAAGCTAGTTTCACTTAATAAATTATTGCATGTAAAAGGCATAAATGCAGTGTGAGTGAAAATGAATCCACCAAGCATCTCCTGTGTAAGCCTTGTAAAAATTGAAGCGTCTTTGGCAAACTATGGTAATTCTGAACTTTATTCTGTTTTGTGTTTATTGTAGGGAATCAAGTTTATTTAAAATCAACAATTTGTGTTACAAAATAGAATGCCATGAATGTAAAAAAACCCTGACGCTAGTTAAATGGAGCAGAGTCCCAAAATCAATGCCTTTCAAAAGCATGGCTCACTTCCTTCCGGTTTTGTTGCTTGGCTTTTGTAAGCTGATTTCAAAATGTTTTGACCTTTTGGGTAATTATTCAAATAGGGCAACAAAGATGTTTCATAGCAGGCAGGTATTTCTTCTTTGGCACAAAATTTGAGAATCAGTTTGGTGTAATGGCTAAGGTGGTAGTCTAGAAATCAGGAGATTGTGAGTTCTAGTCCTGACTTTGCAGGAAAGCTGACTGGATGATTTTGAGTTAATCACTTTCTCTCAGCCCAACTCATCTCACAGGGTGGTTGTTGTGAAGAAAAATAGGAGAAGAAAGGAGTATTAGGTATGTTTGCTGAGTTACTTTTAAAGTAATAAAGGTGGGATAAAAATCTATAAATAAATAAAATTTGAATGATGAGTCTTATGACAGACCGACTGTTGTAGCGATAGCTCAGTTTGACTGCTTTTTATCTCCATTGCAAAATATTTAGAGTTTTTCAACCCAACTTAAACTATATTAACAAAACAAAATATGTAGACTTTTACTTGAAGCCCTTCTAAATCTATGTTGAATTGCAGCCCCTATAATTTCATCAATGTCAAATTGACTGGGGATTATAGGAATTGTCTGGCATTTTTAGAGAATTACTAAATTGAAAAATATGAAGTTGCAGATACAGCTAGATGTAATTCTAAGAGTTCTGAGCAAGCAAGTTAAGCTGCCTTGGGTTCTCCATACCCCATTTCCTTCCATCATTACACTGAATGCTTTCTGGCATATATCAGAGACAGGAAACCAGCTACTAATCTGTCTGGCCCCAAGGGATGAGCAATTTACTTATTATTATGGTTGTTGTTTTTTGTTTGTTAGTTTGTTGTCTTTATGTTCTTACTGTTTATTTATTTTTTTTAGATTTTATAAGTCGCCCACAGTCTATTGGAGTGAACAGCCCTAACACATTTAAATAGTAATAAAATCTCCAGGTTTATCTTATTGGCATGACTTTTACTCAAAGCTAATGATGCAGCTTTTAGCCTGCTCCTTTTCCTTACCTTATCATTTGTTACTCTAACAGCAATATTTAATGTTTGTGTTTCATGATGAGACAGAAGTCTAAAGAGATTTTGTCTGCTGAGTAATATGTTATGCTTGCTTTCTAGGTTCCTCGAATTTTTATTGGGGAAACATGTATTGGTGGTTTTACAGATCTAGAGGCTCTAAACAATAGTGGAGAACTTTCTGTCATGCTAAAGAAGATTGGAGCTCTGTGAAGGTAAGCATCTAGGTGTGGTTCCAATTAATGTAATGGGATAAAGGAAATCAAGATTCCCTTTGAGAAAATTATCATCGGAGAGAGGCTTTTTACCTATAAGAACTTGCAAAGTCCCCATATACAAATAAACAGCATGTTAGTGGCTGCTTTTCAGATAGCTTAGTGCACAGAACTATACCCAAGCAGTTGTATGAAGGCTGAGTTGCTTTGATGCTTAGCACATTAGTACCTTATTATAAAATGGGTGTCAAATTCACATCGTCACGGCAGCATCACATGATGTATCGCAACTTTTTTCCCCTTCACCAAACTGGGCATGGGTGTGGCCAGCTCGTGACGCATCCGGCCCGTGGGCTGCGAGCTTGACAGCCCTGCTATAAAACATGATTGGCCCTTGACTAATATATATATATTTACTATCCTGTACTAACTTTGAGTATTCTACAGAAGCATGTAGTTCTTGGCATCCTGTAGAGCAGGGTTATGCAACTTTTTCAATAAAGAGGCCAGAGTTCCTTCTTACATCTTGTAAAAGCCATATATCTATGGAGATTCTCAGTCATCCAGGTCATGGTTGTCCTGAAGGTGTTTTTTCAAGAGGCAACTGGACTTTCTGGTTTTTCTTTGAGGATGTTTTGCTTTTTATCCAAGAAGCTTCTTGGATGAAAAGCAAAACTTCTTCAAAGAAAAAACAGAAAGTCCAGTTGCCTCTTGAAAAAACACCTTTGTAGAAGCCATGTTAGATGTCATGACATCACTGAACTGGTAACGGTTGACCTTTTCAGTTTCTTCTGTCTCTCATTCTTTCTCTTCATTTGGAAGAGGTTTGGATGTTAAACTGGCAACATGGGAGCTATAAGTCTTGCAGAGATTGAGGCATCTATTTTGTCTCCTAAATCACTACAGCAATTAGAAGCATTTGCCTAATTTATAGTGAGGTTCACTAATTTTAAGCTGTGCAGTGAATATCCCCAAGCTTTTAAAATATTAAATATGCTTGAGCTATTTGCAACTTTCTAGCATTAGCAATGAGAAGATGCACCCCTGAGATGAACATTGGTGGGCCTTTAATCCACCTTTGAGTTATTCCCTCGTCCCAGATTAATAATTTCTAGTGAGAGTTACAAGAAGCAGACAAAAATCATGTACATCCAGAAGGAGAGTTAAAGCAGAGAGAATAATCATACTGCCGGACTGTTCCTTGAAACCAAACAAGAATTTTTGAATTAGGATTAAGATATTGTTTACATTTCAGTGCAGAATGTGAGAGAAGTGCCTAATTTTGCATTTTCTAATAAATATTAAAATTGGGTAATCTCCATTTCCACATTTCACAAGTATTTTGTCAATTAAAATATTTGTTGATACTCTTCTCATACCGTGTTTTCCCGAAAATCAGACCCTGTCTTATATATTTTTTGAACTCTGAAATAAGCGCTTGGCCTTATTTTTGGGGAGGTCTTATTATGAGGAGGCAAGAGGAGCAAGATGGGGCTCCTCTTGCCATTTTACCTGATTTCCAGCTCTGTGTTTAAATATTTTTGGGGAGGGCTTATTTTTGGGGGGAGGCTTATTTTAGTGCATGCGCTCAAAAGCCCGATTGGGCTTATTATCAGGGGAGGTCTTATTTTCGGGGAAACGGTATTATTTGGTTAAAAATCTGTAATATAAAGAAAAGTTGCTGGTAAAATAAGGACATTAGGCAACATTGCAAACAAATTATATCTATATATCTATATCTATATATTTATCTATCTAACTATATATATACACACACACACACACACACACACACACATACACACACACACCATGTGCATACAAAATTATCAAGTTCAGTTATCAAAACATAACTTACATTACATTAGAAATTAAGGAAAATTTTGATCTATGAGTCACCCAATGTACCTCAGTTTAACATACTGTAAGTATACTGAAATATTAAGCACTTGCCTTTTCTCCTTTTCCCTCTCCATTCTTTTTCTTTTTTATGTTGTGACTTTTCCAACTGAAAACTAGAAAGCAATTATTGCCTTGTTTTCATTAACCTATAAACTGCTTTGGCAATCTTTAACTCAAGAGCAAACAAAACAAATACTTTAATAACAGATGAGTGTGTATCAGTGTTTCTTAAAACAAAGGTATCTTTTAACATTCAGCTCATTTTTTTTTAACTTGCTCATTTTCCTTTGTGTGGAAACTCTTTAACCTTTTTTTTTTTTAACTTTCAGAGCAACAATAACTACAGGATGAAATTACCCTGAAGCTGTACCTACAGGATTTGGGATTAGATTAATTGGGTCTCCCCTCTTGTCTTCACCAATTTTGTATTTCTGAAGGAAGGCAATACAAAAAAATAGTTTTGCTTACTCTCTGGCTTCTAAGACACAGCTTTACCCTCCTTTGATTCCCTGTTAGTATGACTGTTTTTCTGCTAATAAAGTACACATAACCAGAATGAATAAAAAAATAATATTTGTTTCTTTTGTTGTCATTTGAGCAATTGGTAGCCCTCTACTCTCTCTGGAAGAGTTCATCTTTCTATTTATCATTTCAATTTATGTGGCTGTCCACTCATGACTTTCTGTGCTTTCTCTTTTTTTAATTACTTCTATCATTTACAGCTTGCTTTGAATCTCTGCAATTCCCCCCCTCTCCTTTTTATCCCATATTTAAAAGGCTTCTTGACCTTATTCCAAAGTTTGAGAGTTCCTCTTGTAAATTGGGTCCCATATAATTCTTCAATGTTACGGTCCAGACTATCTCTCTTTGATTCAGCCAATATGCGTGGCACATAAGGGACAATGAGTTTGTCTTTTGATCCCTAGAACTATTTTATGATCACTTATGATAGTTGGGCACATTGTAAGAAGTCAACAATGAGCAAAAAACACACGATGAGTTTAGAAATAAGTATGTCTTAGATTGATGGCCCTCTGGTAGAATTTTTGCAGACTCAGTAATAAAAGCTAATAGCTGAGTATCTAGTTGTTCTCCTGTTCCTTCTTATAATGCAAGGGACACCTGAGATGATACAGCAATCAATAAAAATAAGACAAAAGTGCCTTTTTGACATTCTTTGAGCAAATTTGGGGTCATTACTCAGAAGTAATTAAGAAATGCTTAAGAAGAAGTAATTAAGAAATTCTCCAGTTATTTTCCAAGGGCAGAAAAATGACAGCACAATAACAGGAAAAATACAATGGAAGGGGGATTCCCTTATGATTTCATCCTGTAGGATGTAATAAAATCCAGGAAGCCAGAAAAAGGGCAGATCCTGGAACAATTATTGCAAATTGCCTAGCATGCAGCTCTTAGGGAGTGTGAAAACAAACCATTCCAGTCATGAGAATTTCTGATTTTTGTCTACATTAAAATAATTTTTAAAGCAAATTTCTTTTGGTTAGGTTGAAAAGGAGCAGATTTTTTTTTGTCCAGTCCTAGTAAATGACATATAAATCCTATGACATAACTTGTTTACTAAGGCTGTGGTATATCAAGAGGTACATCTAAATTTTAATAGGGGCAACTTTAATTCTGAAAAGTTAATTTTGGAAAAAAAGTGCATTCAAATGTATTACTAGATTTATATCTTGCACCCATCCCAAGAATCTAAGTAGATCAAGAATTATAAAATTATAATCCAAGCACCATTAAATGCAATGATAAGCCAGTTACTAATTAAACTGACCTTTGAACTGTAGTGCTGATGTAAAGTACTGTGTACAGATGAAACTTGAAAAATTAGAATATCATGCAACAGTTCATTTATTTCAGTAATGCAACTTAAAAGGTGAAACTAATATATGAGGTAGACTCATTACATGCAAAGCAAGATAGTTCAAGCCTTGATTTGTCATAATTTTGATGATTATGGCTTACAGCTCATGAAAACCCCAAATTTACAATCTCAGAAAATTATAATATTACATTAAATCAATAAAACAAGGATTGTACATAGAACAATATTGGACCTCTGAAAAGTATAAGCATGCATATGTACTTAGTACTTGGTTTGGGCCCCTTTTGCATCAATTACTGCCTCAATGTGGCATGGCATGGATGCTATCAGCCTGTGGCACTGCTGAGGTGTTATGGAAGACCAGGATGCTTCAATAGCGGCCTTCAGCTTTTCTGCATTGTTCAGTCTCATGTCTCTCATCTTTCTCTTGGCAATGCCCCATAGATTCTCTATGGGATTCAGGTCAGGCGAGTTTGCTGGCCAATCAAGCACAGTAATCCCATGGTCATTGAACCAGGTTTTGGTACTTTTGGCAGTGTGGGCAGGTGCCAAATCCTGCTGGAAAATGAAGTCAGCATCCCCATAAAGCTCGTCTGCAGAAGGAAGCATGAAGTGCTCCAAAATCTCCTGGTAGATGGCTGCGTTGACCCTGGACTTAATGAAGCACAGTGGACCAACACCAGCAGATGACATGGCTTCCCAAATCAACACAGACTGTGGAAACTTCACAGTGAACTTCAATCATCTTGCAGTGTGTGCCTCTCCATTCTTCCTCCAGTCTCTGGGTCCTTGGTTTCCAAATGAGATGCAAAAGTTGCTCTCATCAGAAAAGAGGACTTTGGACCACTGAGCAACAGAGCAGTTCTTTTTTTCTTTAGCCCAGGTAAGACGCTTCTGACGTTATTTGTTGTTCAGGAGCAGCTTGACAAAAGGAATACGACATTTGAAGCCCATGTCCAGGATCCGTCTGTGTGTTTTGAATGGTCTTTTCCTGACAATCCTCTCCAGGCTGTGGTCATACCTGCTGCTTGTGCACCTTTTTCTTCCACACTTTTCCCTTCCACGTAACTTTCTATTAATGTGCTTTGATACAGCACTTTGGGAACATCCAACTTCTTTTGCAATTACCTTTTGAGGTTTTCCCTCCTTATGGAGGGTGTCAATGATGGTTTTCTGCACAACTGTGAGGTCAGCAGTCTTTCCCATGATTGTGATTCCTACTGAACCAGACTGAGAGGCCATTTAAAGGCTCAGGAACCCTTTGCAGGTGTTATGGCTTAATTAGCTGATTAGAGTGGGACACTTTGAGCCTAAAATATTGAATGTTTTCACAATATTCTAAATTTCTGAGATTGTGAATTTAGGGTTTTCATGAGCTGTAAACCATAATCATCAAAAGTATGACAAATCAAGGCTTGAACTATCTCGCTTTGCATGTAATGAGTCTATCACATATATTAGTTTCACCTTTTAAGTTGCATTACTGAAATAAATGAACTTTTGCACGATATTCTAATTTTTCATTTGTGGACAGCCAGAGTAACAAGTTTTAAATTGTATATAACCAGACACATTACTGGAAGCTATAATCATAAGTATCTGATTTACTTTGGCTATGTTATGCGTGCAAATTCATTGGAGAAGTCAGTGATGCTAGGAAGGATTAGTGGACAAAGAAGGAACAAACAAGCACACTGGTTTGATAACATTAAATCTGATGCAAAGTTGAACATTCAACAATTAAAAGAAGCTGTGCTTGATAGGGTAGCCTGGAGACCATTTGTCTACAAAGTCACCAAGAGTCAAATCCGACTAAATGGTTAAAAACAACAACTTAAACTGACAATGAAAACCTTTGAAATCATTTTCTACACAAGAATTACTCTGCTTCCCGTGCCTCCAGACACATCCTGCTTTCTTATATTTACAATCTAAAGGAGCAGAGCTAAGCTTCAGTATTAGCTTGTTGTTTTTTTAAAAAAAAATCAGGTTTAGCTGCAAGATGTCATAATTAGACATTTGTCTCTGTTGTGGTAGAAATAGTTCTTCATTTGTCTTTAGCAGTAGAATTTATTCATCTTTATCCATTTTAAAATAGGTAGGCATCTTATTATAGCTTCTCCAGTTGGGTGCACTTCAGAGATTGCATTTCAGTTCTCACAATTCTTTTAATATCCTGGCTGTCTTTTTCTTTCATCCTTATATCTAACAAATCTTATTTTTAATAGAATTTTGTATTTTTGTTAACCATAAAAACAGTTCGTTAGGAAAGCAACCATCTTGAATGATGGAAGAATTTGAAACCAGTGCTGCCTCCTGCTGGGGAGACTAAGCATAATTTAAATAATTAAATAATTTCAGCATTGAAGATTTAATGTGTTTTTCCGTAGCAAAATAACCATTAGTGCTTTTTTAAAAAATATGTTTAAATATGTATACACAATACATTTGTTTAAAGGGTTGCTTTTTAAAAGGCATTACATTTTTGTGTTACAGAAAATGTAAAATTATATGAACAAACTAAGTTGAAAAGAAGATGAAGACAGTCCTTCTCAAACTTCATTTCATTTGTTACTTATGTAACAAATTCTCATGTCCTTACATATTTAGAAGTGAAATTCAATAACTACAGGGAAGTATGGATACCTTCAAATTTGCAACATGATTGTGCATATAGATGATATCAATTTCTGATCTCCTAGGGCAATGATGGCTAACCTTTTCCGGACTGAGTGCCCAAAGAGCACGTCCAAACCCCCAAACTGCAATGCGGGTGTGGACCCCACACATCCCCCGCCCCCATGCATGCATACACAGCCCCAACATGCACCCCGCCTCCGCACATGCATGCACGGCAGAGACCTGAAGACCAGCTGGCCAGTGGGAGGAACGCAGGCATGCGTGGTGGAGATGAACTGGGGCGACAGCTTGCGTGCCCAGAGAGAGGGCGTTGTGTGCCACCTCTGGCATGCATGCTATAGATTCACCATCACGGTTCTAGAGGTTCATCAAAGACACAATCTGATCCTGCTTTTGCATACAATTGTGTAGGGTTTCCAATTTATTGAGATACCTGTTCTGCTACCAAAAAAAACCTGGCGTATTGAATACTGTTTCCTGTATTTCTGCACAGAATTAGACCATAAAGTGACACAGACCGCTTGGATTTCTCAGTACAGTAATGATAAGCATTAATTTCAAATGAGTGTTGAAAGGTTTTTTATTACTTGATAAACATATTTTCTTGTCACAGTTCAGGCATTTATGAAGCTTATTTTTTTTATGTTATTTTGAAAGGAAGAGGCCATTATTTTAAGTGTTGCTAAGTAGTATAATAGCAGGTTCCTTTTTGAAGCTGTTGTCATTAGATACTGGTACATGTAATTGGTGTAGAAAATAATGGATTTTTAAACAACATAAACCTATGCATGCTTTTTAGCTTCTTTTCACGTCTGTTCTGTCCTTACAAGTAAATGCATGATTTAAACATAAACCAATAGAGCATATTTATTTTCTGCTCATGAGAATATACCAAGTTATAATCTTAAAAGGTTACCATTGTTACCTTACTGTTACGGTCAAAAAACAACATAGATTTTCAAATACCATTCGAAAAAGGATACAAGTGCTGGAAAAGGGGAACAAAAATGATCAGAACTGAATGATAAAAGTTCAGAATGTCTGAGCATTTTTACTTTGGATAAAAGGCACAGAACATGGGGTAAGGATATGACTGAGGTTCATAAAATAATGTATGGTACAGTGACATGTACCATATTTATTATTGCAAGGATTATGGCCACTCACTTGTATTGCTTTCAAAGGGGCTAAGATAAATTAACCTGGGTCAATTCATAACTATTCTGGATTGGAGGCAGGATATTTTCAAATATCCATGATTGGAAAAATAAAAATAAGAGAGGAGAATGTCACCATCTCCTGTTTACAAGCATATGAAAGGAACCTAGTTGGCCATCATGCGAAACAAAATCCTGGAATTTTTCACCCGATATGAGATGGAAGGAGGGAGGGAGGAGAGAGAGACAATGTGACAAAGGGTCTATTTACCTTTCCTATACAGGTGTAGTCAATCCTTCAGTTACAACTGTAATGAAGCCTGCCAACGTTTTTTATGGGCCAGTTTTGCAGAAAATTGCAAGTATTGCTGGTTTTGGGGAAACCACATGATTACAGGACACTGCAATAAATGCAAGCTGAAGTGTGGTCATATGACCCTTGGGAGAAGTGGAGGTCAGAACTTTGAATCCATGTCGTATATACCCCCAGGGCTGTCCTTCAGAACTTTGAATGGTTGCTAGGCAACCAGACACATCAAAAATTACCTCTACACCTTACGGCAGTGGTTCTTAACCTTCCTAATGCCGCGACCCATTAATACAGTTCATCATGTTGTGGTGACCCCCAACCAGGGGTGGGTTCTAAAATTTTTTACTATCGGTTCTGTGGGCGTGGCTTATTTTGTGGGCGTGGCTTGGAGGTCATGTGACTGGGTGGGCACGGCTAGCTGGTCATGTGACCGGGTGGCCATGGCTATGTGTATAGGAACTACTCAGAGGGCTGAAAAAAGTCATTTCTGACAGATCCTCGCACTTTTGACTGGTCCTCACACTTATGACCATCTTCACATTTATGCCCGTGCAGCATTCTTAACAACCATGTCACTCATTTCACAACTGCTTCTCTTCACCATGGTAATAAGATAGGGAAAAAAACATAAAATGTGAGAACAGTCGTAAATTCAAGGACTGGTCAAAAGTGCGAGGACCAGTCAAAAATAACCTTTTCAGCCCTCTGAGTAGTCCATGTGCACAAAAGGACTACCCAGAGGGCTGAAAAAAGTCATTTCTGACAGATCCTTGCACTTTTGACTGGTCTTCGCACTTATGACTAGTCATCATGCCCATTGTAGCATTCTTAACAACCGTGTCACTCATTTCACAACTGCTTCTCTTCACCATGGTGACAAGATAGGGCAAAAATGTAAAATGTAAAACTTACAGTCGTAAGTTTGAGGACTGGTCAAAAGTGCGAGGACCAGTCAAAAATAACTTTTTCAGCCCTCTGAGTAGTCCATATGCATAAAAGGATACAGCAATAGAGAGGGATGAAGGAAGGGAAGGGAAATTAGAGTAGGAGTGAGGGTAAGAGAGGGAGGAAGAGAGGAGGAGAAGGAGAAGAAGCCAAAATGGTAGGTTTGAGGAGAAAGATTGCTGTACAATAAAAAAGATGAAAGGGAAGAAAACCAACCCCAAACAAATATAAAGATATTAAGATAAAGAATGAATTGTTAAACTTCTAATTAGTGTTTCTAATTATTGCTATTTATTCATATTTGTTCTCTTTTATTCTTTAAAGAGAACAAATATGAATAAATAGCAATAATTAGAAACACACATACAAACATACAATATATTTTCTTTGAACAGAGTATTTGGCCGGTTCACAAATTTAACCAGTGTTTAGTCATTTCAATTAAATTTACCATTTCTATATTTTCTTTTTGCCATATTTATTCCTCATCTATTTTTTTTAAAAAACCAATATTACCCTTCATCCTCATCTCTAATCTTAATCAAATTCAATTTTTCCCTTCTATTCTATATTATACCCCTTCCCATTGTCATCTATTTTTATATCCAACCTCACATTGGTTAATTACGTAATTATGTAATACAGTTGTTTAATACAAATTCAACATTTTAATATAAATCAATTAGTTATATAACTATCTTTTTTGTATATCAATCAATATGAACATGAATATTCCAATTATTTCCATGCAATCCAATTTCTTACAAATCAATTAATTATATTTACCAATAATAATAAACCAAATAATTTCCCCCATATATTCCTCCAAACCACAACTTAACCATTTCTGTTTTCAACACAATATACAATTAATAGTATCTCAATTATTACAATTCCCTAGTTAAATAGAGCTTTTTTTCTTTTGTGTTTTAAAATCTTGAACCTCCTCTTTTGCCCTAAATTTCCCATTGTTTGCAGTTTTGCACCTACCTTTTTTGGTGAGGAAAAAGAAAAAGAAATCTCTCTCTGCTTCATTTTGTCACTTTGCAGCAAAGACCCTGCTTTACTTTCAGTTTCATTTTTTCAGCATAGCTAGGGGGGGAAAAATCTGCTCCTCTCTTTGCAGCTAGCAACAGAGCCCTCCGCAAAACAGCTGAGAGCAAATCAGCTGAGAGTCCGGAGGCTGATCAAATCAACTTATGGTAATTAACCTATGCTGAAGCTGAAAGGGGCTGTTTTTTTCTATTTTTGCAGGCACCGGTCTTCTCATTTGTTTTATTTTAACACTGATCAGCTGTAGGGTGGCCCTTTGAAGCCCCGCGCAAGAATTTAAACGGTTTGTTTCCCTCTAGCCATCAGCTGGGATTCAGGAGGCAGCAATAGATTGGGAGTGGGCGGAGTAAGCGAACGGCGAACGGCGATCCAACAGAGGCAGAGGGTGAGGATGAGTGAAGGGAGGGGCGAGAGAGGGCTTTGGCGACCCCTGTGAAATGGCCATTCGACCCCCAAAGGGGTCGCGACCCCCAGGTTGAGAACCGCTGCCTTATGGGTTAGTTAGCCTTTTCATCACTTACTTGTTTGACTGAATGAAACTTTTGTCTTTATGATTAAGTTTTAATATCACTGGACAGAACAGTTCACAAAATATGCAATTTTATAGGCTACCATTCAATCCATGCAAAGGAATTTGTATCAATAGGGCATCTATCATCTTCCTTTAAAGACATCCCTAAACTCATTTTAACTGAGAGCAATGTCAGGATTGGATGAACAGAATTTTATTTTTTAAGAAAAACACAGCTCTCACTCTCTCTTAGCCCAAGGTAGGAAGCAATGGCAAGCTGCTTCTGAACTCTTACTGAAGAATACTGCAGGGACTTGTCGAGGCAGTGATCAGGAATCAACACTGGCTTCAAGGCATTAAAAAATGGAAATATAAGGCTGTGCAGTGCTTCAGATGTGGCTATGAACAAATGAAGCCCTGAGTCTCCAACTCAGAAAGATTGCTGTGTCTGTTTCCAGCCAGATGTTGCATTCACTTTTCTACACATTATGACATACATCTTCCTAGTCAAAATCTGCAGCTTTGCATTGCCAGGCAAACACTTACAATTAGGCATATACAACATGTGATAATTTTTCTACTTTAAATGCTAAGATCAAATCAAATACAGACAGCCTAAAAAGTGTTTGGACTGCAGCTATTTAATGGATAGTCACATGAAATAAGCACTTAATAAAAATGTCATATTACAAGGAATTAAATAGCATAATTAAATATTGTGAATTTAAGAACCTGTTAACCTGTAAAATTATTACATACCCAACACATGCCAAAATAAAGGGGCTTTTTTTTGCAGCAAAGCCACAATCATTCATGTGATAAATTTCAACAAACAATTTTAACTGCAATTTTAAGGTTGCATCTCTGTAAACTTCCATGCTGGCTTGATATTGACATTTATTCATTAAAAAACAGTAACAGTGTGCAAATAGAAATGCTTTTCTTATAAAAATAGATTTTAAAGGAATGCATTCAATATGTGATGTATATAGATTACTACTTATCAATTCTTGGGTATTAATAAATATAATGCTATCAGAAATGTAGACGTTGCTGCAGATTATCTTTCACATACTGTTCATTAAAGTGTTTAAGAAATATAATAAATTACAACTTAATCCTATGAATTTGAAGGACTATGAATAGCTGTCATAATCTGAGAAGAGATTATAGTGCAGTGCACGTGCAGCCCAAAGGAACTATGAATACTCTTGTCATTTTATGAGCTACTTTGCAAAACATGCCATTGCCATCCAAGGATTTGCAGGTTACTAGTTACTAGCTATGCATATCTGCAGGTGAATTCAAAGATGTTCAACAATACAGTATTCCTATCTATGTGTAAGAATTCATGAACATAAAGTACTCCATATGTGGCTTCCCATTCTGTCCCTATATAGGCTTGTAACAGGATTCTTTAATTCTCATTTTTTTCTAATTAATATTTCCGCTTCATACTGCCATCTATAATTACCTTTGTCTACTACTGCTGCATTGGAATGTTAATATTTTGAGGTGAAATGTGTCATAATTATACTTATCAATTTTCAGATAAAAGGAACATTTTCACTAAATCATAACCTTAAAACATTTGAGTCGTTTGAAAAATTATGCCTAGATTTATAGATAAAATCATTAATTAAATACCAAATCAGTTTGTGATTTATGGTTGTTTTAGTACACAGAATCTTTGTGATTGCTTATTAACAAATAGGCATTGTTATATGGGAATTTTCATTGTTATCATACTAGTTTTTAAAAATATATTACCATTTTTAAATTAAAGCAAAGGAATGGGTTATAAATTGATATTAATGTATCTATTTCCATGGAACTTACAGTCATACAAAAATGCTGAAAATGTTTTTAAGTTTCCTTAATAAAAAAATACACTAGTAGAAATAAATCAGTTGTAGTATCCTACTTGGCATTTTAAAAAGAATACAAAACATTATATAAAACATTATTTATAAGAGCCATTGTAATATATGTGGGTGAAGCAGCACATTGTCTCTGAAAATGTGTGCTATGGGTCAGACAGTTCCTGATTCAAATGTTGCTTCAATTAACCATTGAGACATTCTAATGCCACCTTTGTACATATGGAGGATACAATGTGGAGGTCTATGTGGGTTGTAAAACATACACTTAACCACATATAAAGATAGAAAATACTACAATCTTAGTAATAATGTGCACCTACGCAAAAATGGGAAGTACAAAATCCTCAGAAACTTGGCCAGATCAGCCCCGTTGTTTAAATACAGCGCAGACCTATCTGGGAAAATTGACAAGAATGCCTTAATGGATAAAATATGTCTGGGGAAAATGGACATGCAGCACAGCCCCTAGTTGAGTTTATTAAATTATTCAGTTAAATGAGAAGGGAATTATAGAAAGGACTCAGTGGATTAGTGTGCTTATGCCCCAAAAGCATAAAAGGTCTGGATCCATATGATCAGAGTATATAAATTTAATATTTCCTTCTTTTTCCCTTGGCCTCTCACGTACTAAATATAGGAAACAAACTATAGCACAGCTTTCAGGGATGAATTAAATATATACAAACACACACAGGCCACTGCTTGAATTTACACACACTTTTTCAAAATTGTGAAATGATTGTTAAATTATTATCTACCTGGTGGGAAGAATTTAAAATTGTTATTGTCAGAATACTGTAAATGGGTTATTTATGCAAAAAAAGAAACTTAAGAAAAGACTTTTATATATATGCAATTATACAGGAAACAATACCAAAATATTTTTCAAACCTAATTTTGTTTTACAATACCTAGAAAAACCATACTGGGACTTTTTTACTATACAAGATTCCTCAGTGAGGGGAAAGTTTAATTTTTTTTTTTCCAGAAATTTGATGCAGATTGGGATGAGGTACATTTTAAATTCCAAAATAGAATCTTCTTTTTACAAGCTCTGTGTTTTTACAAAATATAAAATTTCTAAAAGCTCATAACTAACTAACTAAAATCTTCAAAGGAAATAGCTTAAAAAAGTGAGTAATGAATGCAGAATCTCTCCTTCAAGCTCCTGGAATCCTAGATACATAATAGGCTAACAAATATTTCAAATTAGTACATATTCCTCTAAAAATTTAAAATAGTATAGAATCGGACCTACAATACAACTGAAATTCATCTTAGTAAATACATATGTTACAATATGTTTCACATGCTTTTAAACAGTACCATAGTTATTCATTAGCAAGTGCAACATTTTAGCTAAATATCAAATTTCAGTTGTAAGATTTCTGAAGCACAGCTTTCAATCATTCATAAATAAAGATCATTTTTTTATTTTACATTATTAGACAATGACATTTCCGAGAATGAATGTAGTTTCTGTACTCCGCAAGCTGTCTCAGGTACATACTAGAAGGCCATCTGTGCATCTCTATGAAATTGCGTTCCTCCACTGAGGAAAAAAAAGCAAAGTATTGTATATCTTTTTAGTACTAGAAGGTTGCTTATTCAGCCTAATAAGTCTAAAAGTCTAAGACATTTTTCTTTATAAGCCAGAAATCAGTGTGGTTTACCTTATCAAAGTATGACTGATGTTTCCTCAGTCTGACAAGATGACAACATTTAACTGAAGGGACCTGGAGTGCACCCACTCAGCCTGACGGTATTGGGATGAGTAAAAGCAATTGTGACAGGTGATACTGCAAATAATCAAGGCCCTATACGATGAAGGATTTTAATGACTAACCTTGAATTGCACCCAGAAGCTGACTGGTAACCAATGCAGCTCATGTACCAGCTATGACACATGGGCATGAGAGGCAGGCAGCATACATATTTAATAAATTATTAATATTAGTGTTCAATATTGCTTGTGCCCTGCCTCTTGAACCAGCGGTAGCTTCCAGATTATCACCAAGGGGAACTCCATGCAGAATGTGTTGCAATAGTCCAATCATGAGATGACTAGGGCATGAGCGACCGTTGTTTTTGGCCTGAGTTTCTTTAATCCCTTAAAGTTATTTTCCCCCTTAACAAGCTTTTTGGAGTCACCCCTGCAACCTTTGACAATTTTGGAAAGATTTGTAAATCTTAAGTATCCAAGAAATTGTTTCATGCAGTATTTGCAGAGCAAGCCTCCTTTCTACATTTAACTAAATGTAGAAAGACACTCAATTTAAAATTGGTGACAAGACAGAATCCTACCCTCTTGCTAAAGAATATCAATTTATACATCCATTTGATATGGAAAACAACATAATTTGTCTCTTTTAAATAACATCAAGTTATTTAGGAAACAAGTTGTCAGTTACCTGAAAGATCTTCAAACTCAGGTTTCTGACTGAAGATTAAGTAATTAGAAGCAATAAAATGAAGCAGCCAATTTGAAAGACAATCCGAGTTATGAAACTGGAAAAAAGATTTAAAAATAAAAGAGTATTGGTACTATAGCAAGGAGTTTGGGTCAAATACAGTAACTAGAATAAATATTTAATTTGTAGAAAAATAGTGATGGTCTAATGGTTAAGATACTAGGCTGTTGACCAGAATATATGCAATTTGATATCCAAGTACCATGTGACGCTGATGGGATGATCTCCCATTCTTGCCCCAGCTCCTACCCATCTGGCAGTTTGACAGCACACAAATGTGAGTAGATAGTTCTGGGTTTTTTAAAAAATGGGACTATTTAAGCAGCGTTTCATATAGTCACATTTGCATTTTAAGCTTTTGTTTCTCTCTACCTTTCATCAAATTAAATTAGAAAGCTTTTGAATTAAAGCTTTCTATATTTTCTACAGTTGGGATAAAATATAGAATATAAAACTTTATTGCAATTTTTTTGGTTTCTTCCATTTTCAGTGTTTTCTCTGTCTGCTACTCCTAAACAGACAGAAATGAAGGCATGCCATCTTTCTTAGAATTTTGTAGCATGTAACTCTATTGTACTAGAAATGTAAAATATTTCAATTAAACTCAATTAAGGCATGTTTAATTATATTTCAATGTTTATACTTTTCAACTTTATACAGTATGTCAATGTATTTTTGTGTTTTTATGACCAAACCACTATATGCATAATGCATTCTATAAAGTTACAAGATGATACTGTATCTGCTTATATCTGATTTAAAAATAATTGCTTTATACATTTCAATTTTTTCAGATTACCCAGAAAACGTGTTTTTGGTTGCTTGAAATTTTATATCACTAACTGCTGGCATTAACAGTCTACACAGTAAATGTGATAGAAGAAACCATACAAGACAGTAATTTGCATGAGAAATAATGTAGCATTATGAAAAGAACCTCAAATTAGTTTTAGAATTGATGTCTTTCCACATATCAGGTTTTTTAATAAGGAAAAACTGCAGTTTAATATTGAGCAATCTGCAAGTGGTATGTATTCCATTATATAAAAACGATCTTTACTTTCAAAATGAATCAGCCTTTGTTAACTACAGAAAAGATACAGATAAACAATATATCAACAGGGAGTGAGTACTTACTTTTGCTTTTTGAAGCAAGCTGACCACACTCAGGCTCGTAGATGTTAATTCTCTACTAGGCATGCTCTGGAGTTGTGTAATTATATAAAGCTCACAGATGTGCTGGAGCCTTGAAACCTGGTACATCTCAGCACATATTAAAAGTGACATGGCTTGCAGAATGCTGGCTGATTAAAATATCAAACCCAGATTAAAACTGATGTAATAATTATATACCGGTTTAAACATCGTATTATTTTGTAATTCCTATACTACTGATTCAGAATTAGTTTTTTTTAAACACTCTGCCACTAAATATAATCTATTGTAAGAACACTTGAGATTTGATATCTGTGAAATAGACCTTCATTGCATCTCTTCAAAGTGGCTACGCCAAGGATGAACGCAACGCATGTTTAAATATGTTGCGTTCACTTATTCATACCCAAAAACATACATCAAAGTCACTTGCAAATTAATAAACACAAAGTATCATTCCTGATATAAAAACAGGTTGTATAAAAACTATTTTATTCAACATACATGCCTTTTAGCATGTCCTTATGTCTATTGGAATCTGTGTGAATGAACCAAATTTAAACCCATTAATTTTATTTCAATTAATAATGATTCAAAAATTTAGGAATCTCATTTTAGAATAAACAGAATCAAGCTTTAAGAAACACCTGTTTTGACTACTGTTGTTAATATGTTGCTGAGATATTTTACCATCATGTAATAATAAGTATCATGTTGAAATGTATTTATATCCAAATGCAAAAATCAATATATTCACAGCTCTCTGAAAAGCCAAGACTTTCAGTCCAAGGATTCCTTTTGGAACTATCATAGTATTTAATGCTATTCAAAACTAAATTTTAATATTTGCATACCTGGACAACAGGAGTCTGTATATAGATACTCTAAAAAAGATAGAAATGTATCTTTGGAAATTCCATAAACTGGAACCAAAAAACTATTTGATTCAATATAGTTGCCATTAAACATAGCAGCCATTACTTCACAGCGAGCCACCAGGACTGCTTTGTGAGCTGGTACTGTAGCACCTACAAGGAAAGAGGTTGGATGAAAACAGTATCATGTGAGGCAGACATGGTAAGAAATAATAGAATATTATTTACAATTATTAATTAATAATTATAAATGTATCTGCTGCAAAATATTTATAAATGGCAAGACTGTTCAAGCATCAACGTTTCAAGAAAAGTATCGCATTTCAACTCAGAATGAGAATAAATATTAAACTTGATTCATGCTATTATACAATTGCCTTCCCAAATATCATAGACTGCAGCTATTTTGGGACTGCAAATTTCCAGCCAGCAGGTCCCATGCTATGCTGACTGGGAAATCTGGGTATTACATTTCTAAAACATCTTGAGGGGATATTTTGGATTGTTTTATTAACACTGCAATCATATACTGTAAATTTCAATGTAAATTTATCCTAGGTAAACATATATAGGAATTCAGATTTAATGGAATCTGTATCCACAATCTCTTTTAACATAAAATATTCTGATTTGTGAATCTATTCCAACTGCCTTTAATATATATGAAATTAATATCTTCTACATGTTAATTGAGTGATTCTTATTCAATTTGGTGGAATTTTTTTAAGTAAATATACTTAAAAATAAATTATACTATGGGTTGAAAATCCATTCCTAAATAATACTACTCCTGTTCGAGATTTGTACTGTATTGCAAAAACAAATTGACTGTGGAAATGTCTATTCCCATTAATACAGCAACAGTGCCCAACACAAATTCTACCTCTTTCTTTAAAACGAAATAAAGAATAGACTGAAAGACATTTATTTTGCAGATGCAATGGAAAGCTCCAATTAAGCAAACTATTTCTTTGAAAATAAAATTGCCAAAAAGCATTTTGACATTTGATCTACTGTTAAGAAAAAAACCCTTTCAACATTTCCTATTTTTTAATGCATTATTCTGCAGTAATATATTCTGGCAAGGTATTTATCTATAAGCATGGTATTCACTAATGACTCCTTAAGTGCCATCATCATTTATTCATCAAGGTCAGAACAATATTTTGCATATCATATAAAAGTACACCCAATTATCATCTCACATATTCAGCTGAACCTTATCATTATAATGATTTTGGAACTAATATATTGTCATGAATCTGCCCCCGGACTGCTCTCCAGATGTCAGTTCAGAGGAGGAGGTGAGTTTGAGTGTGCGGAGAAAGGCATGGAACCGAGTATTGGTCAGGATTGGAGCTCAGAGAATTCTAGCTTGATGGTGCAGCCTCAGCTGGGTCGATTGGACCAGCAACAGTCTGAGGCTGAGAAAGGCGAGCCACAGCTGGAGGCTCCAGGCAGGACTGGGAACAGTTGTTGCTCATTAGCAATGAGAAGGTGGAGTCCATACCTCCTCCTGATCCAAGGACATGTAGGGCAGAGAGGAAACAGGCACAATGTCAGTCAGCTAGACTATTCATGAGGAGGCAACTTGAAGGGCTGCACTGGCATTGCCTACTTAATCCCGCCTTGGGGTCTTGACTGCTGTTGTTGGAGCGATGTGCCCAGTTCTGCGCCTTGTGTGCTCGTGCCGTGTATCCTGACCTGTTTGACTCATGGACTGCTTTCCTGGACTTTGTGTGTGCCCATTGGATTCGGCTGCCCAGTGACTCTTACTGTACTGAGCTTGGAATTTGGACTTGCGCAATGGGGGTACTTTCTGATGACCTGTTTGGGGAAGGGGGTTGAATAAACACCTGTAGAACTCTTCCCATACATGCAGGGGGTAGCTGGGTAACACATATATTTCTTGCCAACAATTCAGTCATCATAAATAATATGCAGTTTTCATTCATTTGTGCACCACATTCTCTCAGACCCACAAGATAGAACAAAGCAGGGAATCAACTGCATAGAAAGACTAAATTACCTTTATTGAATAATAGAATATTTTAAGTCTGATTGTGCTGACTCTTCCCTCATTGCCCCTCCCTACTTCTTATATTCCAGTGAACCAGGGAGGTGTCTGCTTGAATCACTTTTTATCATGCTTCTCAAGTCTTAAAAATGTTTCACACTCATTTGCCTATACAGCAGTTCTTGCCTATTTCTGTCAAGATCATCTTCCTTGCTCTTTACACATTCTTAAGATATATCAAAAGAGAGATTCCTTTTTAATTTCTTTAAACAGGAATTTCTTTAACATACAAATGAATAATTGTTTTCATTGTTTTTGTGAACCATGGCACTCTGGTTCATATCACTTTATTTCTCTTTGGGATTTTGAAACAAATAATGACACCTATTGTTTCTCCACTTCCTCCAAAAATGGCCAAAGATTAACATTAATTAAAAGCAAGCCGTCTAAATTGCCAAATTATGTTCCTGCATTTCAAAGACCTGTTTGTTTTCAGTTTAAGTTATGGATTCTTTTCATAATAAAGGGATATCTATAAAATAATTCCTTTGAACACATATAATAAGGGGCGTGCATAATATAAATATATATTATATATATTATATTATATAATAATATATAATAATATATATAATATATATAATAAGGGGCATGCATAAGCATACCATTTATTTGTATCCATTTCATATATTCATAATCATGTTTATATCTGTTATCTTATACATGCTTGACAAAATAAATAAATAAATACATAAATAAAATATTCAGTTTCCTTGACAAGGGTTGGGGTTGGGGGGGGGGGTTGACCATTGTTTCCTTTCCAGGACTGAAAGAGTCTGACTTGCTCAAGATCGCCCAGTTGGTCCTCTACTGAAAGGAAAGAATTATTTTCTCATTTTTATATTAACATTGTTTCCTAACTAAGTCAAGAAAATGTTGCTTTAAAGGTTCAGGAGATACGTTAACATTATTTTATATTATTTAAAGAAAATATGAAAAAAACAGTGATACTTTATACCATACCTTGTATTTTGAACATGACATCAGCTAATACTGTTGTGTTAAAGAAAAGTCTGAGAGAGCTGTTACATAACTGTAGCGGTCTTTTTGACAAATACGTTCTATAATTTTGTGAACCGTTAACCTGCAGAATGAAAAGATGGTTAAATACATAGCATTTTTTAACTTAAGCTTTAAAAAAAAATTCAACCTATGCTACTGCTATTATACCAAATGAAATCAAATTTATCTTTGGTCCTTCCACTTCACTGTTTTATAAATATCAGCTCTATAGCACTTGTTCTCTAGAACTTCCTTAATAACTTTTCTACTATCATATTTTTGTCTGTAAACCATGGGAGGCACAACCTCAGCGGACAATTATGATACAATATCTATTGTAAGAATCAACCTTCCAAGGAGAAAGCATGCTATAGGCAGAATCTTACCAGGTAAAGTGTTTGTACATATTCTTAAATAAAAATCCAGGGAATTGGAAATCTAACTTCATAAAAAGATGTCCCTGAAAACAATGATTGAATGCTGGACTCTTAGCACACATAGAGGCTAATGAAACAGACTCAATGAACCCTATGAATTCAAAGGAACGCTGCCAACAAACTTGAGCACAGAGCTGGGGGCGGGGGGCGGGGGTGGAATGTAATACAAAAAGGCACGAACTGAAGTGATGAAATTTACAAGCAGGCTTGAGACCAATTGGTGAAGGGTATAGTTAATGTTGAGAAATACAAGCAAGAGAAGAAAAAAGTGTAAATCATTATTAACAATAGGAAGCTTTAGTACACCATAAACAAGCAGAGCCCAAGTCCTAAAAAGATAACACAAGGGAACTTGTAGGAAGGCAGTTGTGAGAAAAGTCTTTACTATAGTAGTATTATTTCTGTAAAGTGTAGTTATTCTTCCAAAAACCTAGATCCCTTGGAAAATGAAAAACAGAAGAATTTGGCTTATAGGGAAGAATTTAGTTATAATACCCATGTTTTAATTGGAGTTTTCCACTTTTTCAAACAACACAATTCTCTCTTTTTCTCTCAAACCAAGTTATAATTTTTAGTGACAATGACAAACGTGTTTACAATCTCATCCCACCTTACTTTGTTCAGTATTTTATTCAACCGAATTTATATTTCATTTTTCAGATTTTTTTTCTCTTATTATGTTGTATTCCATAGTCCATAGAACAGTTTTGATGTATGGCTTAACATATTGTTACTAATATATTAATATTAATAACATCAGATTTCCTCAAAAGAGTATGCCACAAAATATTAGGTTAAATGTATCAATAATTCTATCCAAACTATTTTAATTGGTTTTATTATTTACAAAAATATATTAACTTATATATCAAAAGTGTCTGTTCTACTGACTGTGGGATAAAGAAAGGAGGATGCCATTTGTATTAGTCTCAACTTACTTCACAGAAAACTGGAATTATTTGAGGAAAAGTGGAGTGATACCAATACCTTCAGTCATCTCTGTACTTATGTTTATTTCAAAAATTCATATTCTTTCCTTTTCACATTAAGGTAACATGAATGAAGTTGCAAAAGCTCTATGGATTTATACTTCTATTTCCAGTATTCAATAACCAGAATAAATGATCCTTATCAAGCAAATGCTTCTCCCCATTAAACAAAGTACCTGTTTACCATTATCTATGCAAATCTGAAAACTTTTAATTTGCTTTTAAGAATCTTAACAGTGCTCTCTTATTAAAAATGCTAATACTTTTTCTAAATAAATATAAGCCTCACTTTTGAAGAATAAAAATCTCTTTATATCTTTTCTTATAATAAAAATAAGATATCAACTTGCCTTTCCTGGAATTTTCAAGATACATTTTACTCTCTCAAGAACAAGCTCAACATCCCCAAGATTCTTCAGTTTCTTTTTAATGTGCTCTTCCAATAGGTCCCATTGGAAAGCACCTAAAGATATGAAACAAGTACTTTTAAAATGGCATACAGGACATCACTTTTAGCACAAGGTATCTTTATTACCAATCTGATGTGTGTATGATCTCCCTTAATTATTGCAGCTCTGTTGCAAACAGTATTTAATTTTTATAGATTCCACTGCATTGTCACTGCATCTAATAAAAGACAAATTTTACTCATTCAGCCATAGAAATCTCACTGATATTGTGACTGAGGGCACTGCCACACTGCCATCATTTTATTCAGAAGCAGCAATTATCTTCTTTTCTGCCAATTCAGATGCTCATAATAGGAGGAAAACATCATTTCTTTCTCTTGGCTGTTTGCAAATCTTTTACCGGGGGGGAGGGGAGGAAAACAAAAGCCTTCACCTCTACTCTAAGTTACTAACATGGTTGCTAAGTGAATCTGGCTTCCCTATTGACTTTGCTTGTCAGAAGATCACAGAAGATAATCACATGATCCCAGAATATTACAGTTGTCATAAACATGAGTCAGTTGCCAAGCCTCTGAATGTTGACCACGACCATGGGAATGCTGCAATAGTTGTAAATGTGAAAAAACAATCATGTCACTTTTTCAGTACCACTATAACTTCAAAAGGTCACTAAACGAACTACCTGTATTTTTGTTAATAGTTCATGTATTGTTTTCTGCTTGAGTGTTTGCCTGGGGTTAATCCCGGGTTATCTGGATGGTGGTAGCTAGAGAAGATGTATGCTGATCCTTTTGTTTGCTTCTTCTATTTTTTGTTGTTTCTTTTGAATGACCTAAAGACATGGCTTTTTCAACAAATTCCCTGATCTGCCGTGTATTTTAATCTGGGGATGTGGGGTTTTAAATTGGATTGTACCACTTTCATTCTATTTATTGTTGGATTGCTTATTTTGTGAGCGGCCCCGAGTCCTTCAGGAGAAGGGCGGCATCTAAATATGACAATAAATAAATAAATGGTGCATAAATGTGGTTTATCTCTATATAGGAATTTTTCCAGCTGCCATAGAATCTTCCCAAGCCTCAGAAAAGTAGAAAACTGGACAAGGACTATGTTTTTAGAACATTCTGTGCTTTAGTAATAACAGTTTTAAACTGAAGTATCTAAATGTAATCTAGTTATATTTAGTTTCTGCTGTGAATAGGACTCCTGTGCTCAATGTGTTTTATTTTAATTCTGTTTCTACCAGGACTCCACATTAAATAACTGAAAAAATAACTCAGGGTCCAGGAAAAGGGGTGACACAGGTTGTTTCCAATTGGAACCTAGAACTACAATTTTTCTAAACCCCAGCCCCAAATGAATTTCCTATCACTTTCTTATATTGCAGCTAAGCTGGAAATAAGTCAAAACTTGTTTTCCGGCCAGACAGAATCCTGCCATAGAAGTTCCTTCAGCTGACTACTTTTGCTATACTAGGATTTTGTCCTTCATCATTCTGCTTCTCTGTTTAGGTAAAGAAATATCTCTGAAACAATGACCAATGAGCAAAATTCCTTTAACCAAAGTATCTCAAATGGGATAACTTCCAGAATCCTTGATGCACCCACGACAAATTTTATAAAACACTTTATGACATAAAACGAGAAAAAAATATTTTATCACATAATACAAAATGTCATAAAATATTTCCTGTGGTCAACTTCTTGTGTTTCATTGTGTGCTATACAGTTCAACATGAGATACTTTCAAGGCAGATACATCTCTGAATAGCTCCCTGAATTTTTAAGAACTGTTCAGACATTAGAACGTCTGCCATTGTTGAAGGCATTAAGGAATCTGGTAAGGAAATATCTCTACGATGGCCCAATGGGTTATGGATTGCCTACTAACTTTTAAATGATCAAAGAAAATAGAAAACACTATAGATATTCTTCAAAGTCAGCTGAAAGTCCTCTATAATATGACCGGCATTCAAATGGCTGTGGTCCCACATGTTTATAAACATCCTTTCTGGATACAGCAGTAGAGAGAAAACATTTTTGTTTTGTAGCAGCTTACATTGAAAAAAACATATCCTCACATGTTCATCCAGATATCTTCAGTATCATAGTCTTTTGTATTTCCATACTCTTCTTCTGATGCATACACAGACCTCTTGGAAACATGGGCTCCCAATTTAGGGAATAAATCTAATAAGCATGTAAGTGGAAGTTGGTGGGAGATCTATGTGCTTACAGAAACAACCCTATGGTAAAGAAGCTTTTTATATGAATATCAGGGCACAGCATACCTACTATTTCCTTTTTTAATTGGACTTCTCTGGAATAGTTTGGTAGGCTACGTACACGTCTCCACTTGTATTCTGACAGGATACTGCCAAAGTATAGGCTAACTCAAAATGCATAGGCTTCCATATTAATAAAATAATATGTACTCTCCTCGCAGTAAGTAACCTCTTCTTTGTTAACAGACAATAAACAGCTGGAACTATTGTGAGAGGATACCTGAATAAATGAAGTGCAGAATATCTGTCAAACAAGAGCAGAAGAATGAGTCTTTAACAATGACTCTTACTGGTGAACCACATGATGTGCCATGTTTTAATATGGGAAACAGAGTTTCCTGAGTGGCTGCAAAGAGAGACTGAGCAGTTCTAATGATAGAAGAATCCTGAATGTCAGTTGGGCTCTTCACATTAAAAAGCAACATGAAGACATGGCTAATAGAGCATAAAACAATCCTGTGTGCTTTTGCTACCTCCTTCAAGTCTTCAGAGTAAAATATCACATCAACACACTGGCAGCAGAACAACAAGTTATGTAAATCAGAATCATAATGTGAGGCTTCGCCTTTTAAGATAGGCATTTTTTCTAAAAAAAAAAAAAGAGAGAGAGAGAGAGCATATATTAAAAAAGAATTCATGAATATAAATAAAATCATAAAATCATTATTCATAAAATTATCACAGTTGAAACTCTGCTCTTTCCCACATAAAATATGATAAACCACATGGATTGTCTTGTCTTGGAACATGGTGACTGCTTTTATCATTTGTCTACCTCCACATTTTACATATTTGCAGTGCACCAGACTGGCTGCTTTCATACGGTATAAACACTAAGTTAAAATGTGGCTGTCTGTTTCACAATTTAGTTTGTCTCATAAAAAAGAGCTTTATGAGGATTTTTTTTAGTAAGACAATTCTGCTCCTAAATAGGAGGCCTGGAATATCCAGGCTATAAAAATATATAAAACTACATGATTTGTTGAAATAGTATTTCATAATATGAAATATTATTTCAACAAGTTTCATAATTTCAAACATGGAAGAATTATGAATTATTTCAAAATATCTGAATTAATGGTTTATTATAAGAAACCATTAATTAAGAAAGACTTATTCTTAGATTCTGCTCAGTTTGCCTCATTATTTCACCCATTATAATCTATGCTGCTACTAGGCACAAAAGGATTGCTCAATCCTGCACGAAAGGAAAGATCTAAGACCACTTCTTTGTACCAATCCCATTCTAGATAAGACTTTGGACATAAAAATCAGATAATATCTCCTCTTTTTTTGGTGCCTTCAAGTCAGTCTTTGTGCTCTCAAGTCAGTCATCCCAAAGGTGCTTTTTCAAAAGACAACTGGACTTTGTTTTTCGTTGAAGACATTTTGGTTCTCATCCAAGAAGGAAACTTCTTTCTGGAGGAGAAGCAAAACATCTTCAAGGAAAAACAAAGTCCAGCTGTTTTTTGAAAAAGCACCTTTGGGACAACCATGGCCTGGGTGACTGAGAATCTCCATAGACTTTCAAGTCAGTCCTGGCAACTGCCTGTACTGGATTCTTTAAAATTGAGATGAGTGACAGAAAATGACATATATTTCACGATACCATATTGTTTTTGCAATTTTGTAATCAGACACTCTATGCTTATCCTAAAAAAATAAAGAGCATTTTCAAATGTCCAATTTATATTGGGAAATGAAACATAAACTAATAATTATCTGCTCATAATTCACCGACACTTTACATTATACTAAATTACTGTCAGCATTATCTAGACCTGAAAGGTCACTATTAAAAATTCTACATCAACTTCTTCCTATATTTTATATAATCAGAGAACATTATGCCCTATGTAATTAATGGGAAACATGCCCAAATCCAGACAGAAATATCCACACACTGATAAAGATTCTGGACAATACTATTATTTTAAAGGGGAAAAAAACATTCAAATGGATGTTCTAGTTTCCATCCAATTTTATTCTTCTGAATGCTTCTGGAATTATAAACCATAGAATAAGGATGGTATGTGACTAGAGTCAAGCATTTTATTTTAAAGCATTCCTGCCCATCTTCAAGAAAAAAAGAAGGAAAGGACAAACCCTATAGGTAATCCTCAATTTACAACTTGTTGTTTTGGTGAATATGATATTTTATGGGAAATTATATTCATGGTGGCAATTATTTTAAGAATGAGCTCCTCTGATGAAAGTCATTTCGTAATGCTGCATTGTCCATGATACCCTATCATATTTCCAAATGTTCTCTGGCCCAGAGAGGTTGGAGATTCCATTAGGAAATACACTTTTAAATTCTAATTTCATGAGCTCTGCAAATTACAACTTTATACAATCCACTGCAACAGATATTGGAAGGCACCTGGCTGATCAAGCTGAGGTGGCTTAACTCCATGACATTTATGGCTTTTCTTCCTTTTCTTCATTTTTTCAGATGATTTCTGATTCAAGCTTTGTATCATAAAATATTCCAGCTAAAATCAAACAAAACATGTATCACTAAATTTTGTAATCAAACTTATTTAAGAAGATGCAATTGATCAGTGTCACCCAAGTATTTCTAATTATTACTGTTGTTGTTAATCTAAATTTTCCTAAATACTTTGGATATAAATAGTTTGTAATCCTGCTTAAAAACTGTTTAATTCTCACTAAAACCAGCAGAAAGTAATCTAATGAGATTACATATTTGAAACAAAAATGCAGCTAACTGTAGAGTACTAGAAGTGTTAGAAACTACTTTTTTATAGTGTAAACATCCTGCTTCCTGGACCATTTTCTGGGAAATCACATAAATGCCCAGCTAGAATTGCCACTGAGAGAGCAAGAGACAAACAGCAAATGATTACAGTTAACCTGAGATTACAATCTGTGCTGCCCTTACCTTTCATTGCAACAGGAAGGCAGAATGGCATACTGTGTGGTATAAGGTCTACATTTTTCTTCCAGATTTAATAACACCACTTTCTAAGACCACCATAATAAAATAGTAAAAGCTCATCATAACAAAATAAGAAATTTATGTAAATTATAAAATTATAATTTTATAAAAGATATATAAAAAATTTTGTATGAGCTAATGATCCAAAGTCACATGTGTCATGAAATCTATATTTAGTATTGCTTTAGTCTTGTGGCAGAACTAGGAATAATTACGGTAACTATTGTGATCTGTAAAGAAAGATAACACCAAAATTAGTGGAAGTGGGGTATTAATATGGTTATCCTCAGAGTACAAGTTTTCACAAATAATATTTACTACTTCCCAGAATTTTTGTGTGAGATATAAATGTAATAATAGTTAATGACATTATATAAGAGATATGTATTTAAAAAGTGGCAGTAAAAACCATTTCATTTTTATTTTACCAGCACTTAGAAATGTTACAATTATTTTTTTTATAAATGAGAGATACTATGTGTTTACAGAAAAATATAATTAGCACACTTTACAAGTGATGATCCCCTGTACTTTTTAAAAAAAATAGTTTGAGGAATATATCTAGAATAACTTTCATTATTCTAGCTTATTGATTATCCTGTTTTTGATGTGAAAAACTTCATACCCATTGAAGTCCTTTTTTAAAGTAGCTGAATCAACAAAGTTGGTGGCATAGTGGTTAGAATGCAGTACTGCAGGCAAACTCTGCCCACAGTCTGGAGTTAGATCAGCTCAAGCTTGACCCAGCCTTCCATCCTTCCAAGGTTGGTAAAATGAGAACCCAGATTGTTGAGGGCAATATGGTGACATTGTAAACTGCTTAGAGAGTGCTGTACAGCACTATGAAGAAGTATATAAGTCTAAGTGATATTGCTATTGCTATAATGGCTTATATTTGAAAACATTTTAATTAGAAAAAATCAATTTACATTCAGATTAAGATTGGTGATTCTACTACTAGCAGCACATATTATTTCTCAGAAATAATTTGAGGACTATTGTTTATGTTTTTAAGACACTAATTCATTTGTAAATGTCATTTATTGCATGACTGAGTATATCTCATCTAAGTCAAATTAATTTAATGGTGATTAAATTACAATGTCTAATATTGATTTAACCAATGATCAACTGGATTTATTAATAGAAATGAATTAGCTGTCTTCCCTGTAGACCCCACATGATGTGATGGCACTGATCTAGAATAGAAACTTCAGGTCATTAGATTTTTAAGTACCTCATGCTATTCTTTTAAAAATGTATTTTAGAATATTAAATATAACAATCATGGCTACAACTAGTGAGGTCTTATATCATGGCGAGCACTAGTGAGGTCTTATATCAAGACCTACTTAGTGGCGATAAAAGCGGCGAAGTGTAACTACTTTTCCGCTCTTATCGCATCGGTAGATAATCGCCCAGCCGCCCTGTTTAGGATGACCCGCTCCCTTCTCCATCTGGGAGTGTGGGAAGACCCCTTGCAAGGGCGTGCTGAGGATTTTGCGTGTTATCTGCACGATAAAATCGCTCAAATTCGGGACGGCTTGGATTCTGACTGGGTGGGTTCAGGCGGGGTGTCTGAGGCAGGTCTTGAGACTGTTATCTGGGAGGAGTTTGATCCTGTGACTCCCGAGGATGTGGACAGGATGCTGGGGAGGTTGAACGCAACCACATGCTTATTGGACCCATGTCCCTCCTGGCTGGTGCTGGCTACCCAGGAGATTACACGAGGCTGGCTCCAGAGGATTATAAACGCTTCTTTGAGTGAGGGCTTCTTACCTCCCGCCTTGAAACAGGCGGTGGTGAGGCCCCTCCTCAAAAAGCCTTCTCTGGATCCGGCTGTTTTGGCAAATTATCGTCCTGTCTCCAACGTCAAGAGTGTGGTGGCGCAACAGCTCCCACAGTACCTGGATGAAACTGTCTATCTGGATCCGTTCCAGTCCGGCTTCAGGCCTGGGTACAGCACAGAAACGGCATTGGTCGCGTTGGTCGATAATCTCTGGAGGGCTTGGGACAGGGGTTGTTCCTCTGTCCTGGTTCTATTAGATCTCTCAGCGGCTTTTGATACCATCAACCATGGTATCATGCTGCGCCGGTTGGAGGGGTTGGGAGTGGAAGGCACCGTTCTACGGTAGTTCTCCTCTTATCTTTCCGACCGGTCACAGCCCGTGTTGGCTGGGGGGCAGAGGTCAACCTCGAGGCACCTTGTTTGTGGGGTACCGCAAGGGTCGGTCCTCTCGCTTCTCCTGTTCAACATTTATGTGAAACTGCTGGGTGAGATCATCCGTGGATTTGGGGTGCGGTGACATCTGTACGCTGATGATACTCAGCTGTACATCTCCACCCCAGACCACCCCAACGATGCCCTTGAAGTGATGTCCCGGTGCCTGGAGGCCGTGCGGGTCTGGATGGGGAGGAACAGGCTCTGACTCTGCCCCTCCAAGACCAAGTGGCTGTGGCTGCCGGCGTCCCAATATAGCCAGCTGGTGCCATCGCTGGCTATTGGGGGTGAGTCATTGGCCCCCACGGAGAGGGCTCATAACTTGGGCGTCCTCCTGGATGCACAGCTGCCTTTAGAAGAGCACATGACGGCCGTGGCCAGGGGGGCTTTCTATCAGGTTCGCCTGATACGCCAGTTGCGTCCCTTTCTGGATTGGGACAACTTATGCACGGTCACTCATGCCCTCGTCACCTCTCGCCTGGACTACTGCAATGCTCTTTCATGGGGCTCCCCTTGAGGAGCACCCGGAGGCTCCAGCTGGTCCAGAATGCAGCCGTGTGGGTTATTATGGGGGTGACATGGCGCTCCCATGTAACACCTCTCCTGCGCGAGCTGCACTGGCTCCCGGTGGTCTTCCGGGTGCGCCTCAAGGTATTGGTTCTCATCTTTAAAGCGCTCCATGGCTTAGGGCCCGGGTATTTACAAGACCACCTTCTGCCACCAATAACCTCCCACCGGCCAATCCGCTCCCACAGAAGGTCTCCTCAGGGTGCCGTCGGCCAAGCAATGTCGACTGACAACCCCCAGAGGGAGAGCCTTCTCTGTGGGGGCACCCGCCCTCTGGAACAAGCTATCCCCAGGAATACGACTGATCCCGGACCTCCGTACTTTCCTTCGAGCTTTGAAGACATTCCTATTTCAGCAAGCCGGGCTGGCTTAAAATTTTAATGGGTTATTTTATGGGAAAGGGTCTTAAATTTTGGGAAGCCAATTTGATTTAATTCTGTTTTAATTTATTTTAATTTTTATATTGCATGTATTTTTATCTTGGCTGTTCACTGCCCTGAGTCCTTCAGGAGAAGGGCGGTATACAAATTTAATAAACCAGAAACCAGAAACCAGAATGTCTACACTGATTTCTGTCATATGACTATCACTCCCTCTTTCTTTAAGATACTGCATGGAATGAGAAAACAATACTAATCATATTTTCATTGCACAATTTACAGTTATAAAAATAGTTTGGACTACATATACCGAGATAATAAAATTTTAAATCAGTTCTCCCGACCTTCTGAGGTAGTAGGATTGCACTTTTCAGCAAAAATATTGGCTGAGAATTGAAAGTTTCAATCAAAATTTAACTGGAGGATGCCAATTTGCAGAAGACTGATTTATCAAAGCATGGGCCCTGATTTTGTGTCACATAGTTTCACATTTGTTCCCACTAACATCTGACCTGAATTTTGCAAACTCAAAAGAAAAAAAAGTCAAAGACTTTGCATCTTAACCTATTATACTTACCACCCCACCAAAATATTTTCCTATGTAAAAATCATTGAGGCTATGCAGTTCCAAGTAAGTGGCTCCTAGTTCTTTAGCAAGTTGAATTCCTTCAGAAGCTGTAACACAGCTACCTCTGTCTGAGATACACAAAGGACAAGTGCAGGGGACTTCTGTGAAAACAAACAATTCAGTGATTCTAAACTCTACCATGTTAGTTATGCATTAAACCATGGAGTATTATACCCCTAAGAACCAGACTTGGACAAGAATTATACAATTATTTTAACTTGAAATATTATTAAATATTATTTTTCTCTATATATCTTTAAAATTCTTCATGCTACTTAGATTTATCTGAAAAACAATTGCATCTAAGTTTTCTATGATGCTGAATTGCTTCCCACCTGAATACAAATATGATTTACTATACCAAAATTACTGTTCTTGTACTGTAGGGAAAAAAAACTTTTTTTGGTAAGAGACTGAAATTTCATTCCTTGGTCTCCTTTTTGGATTACTTCAAACTGAATATAATAATCACTTGTATTTGGCAACAATTTAAAAAATAAACGATTAATGAGAAACTATCATGGCTATTATTTAACTATACTGTATATTGTTATAACAAATTGAATCTATTTTAAGAGATATATTTAGAATATGCTAAATAAAATTTCACTTCTTCAACAGTTTTTGTTTTCTTTCTCAGAACCTTCTATAATTCCCCAAAAAGTTTATGGATTTTTGGGAATAATATGGGATGGAACACTCAAGCTTCTCAGAAGTTCACAGAGAGTCGTACTGCTGAAACAAAGAATATTTGTAGCTTGGGATTGAAATGAGGAGTCCTCAGTATTCTCTGACTTTGGTTGTTTTCAAACTAGATCAGGAGATAACATCATCAGTTGCCAGTAAGGAGTGAGACAACTCCTTACTAACACAGATGATGTTAGCTAGTTTGGTAATGAAACGTACAAGAAAACAACCAAGTCCAGAAAGCACCAATGACCCCTCAGTCATTGGTGCTCTTTTAAGGTTCCAACCACAAAATCACAATATTTTTTTTTAAAAAAACAAGGAAGACAGAAATTAAAACCAAAGAAATATCTATTTATTATCTTTTCCCAAGGGATTACTTTCAGATTATTAAAAGCTGGTTTTTGAGAAAGAGTGAAAAAAAATGAGGCATCTTTGAATTATAATTCTGTAGAAACATACTGATAAACTGCAAGAAAGAAGTAATCGATCCCAGACCAAATGCTATAAAGACTGTTCTCTTGAGCTGATAAGCAATAAGTGGAAACCACATACTTTAACATGCGATGTGAGTGGATAATTGCTCAAAAAAATTATTATGTTTGGCCAGGCTGACAGAAGAAGGAAGAGATAGCTGAAAAGGTTTATGGATGGGATTAAAGAAATTACAAGGATGTCTTTGGAAGTTATTACTGGAAACAAGTCAAGATAGTGAGCATTTATGCATTAAGTTACTTGATGGCACAAGACATCTGAAACTTGCTTTTAGATGGTTCTCTCCTCACTCTCCAATTGGCTGAAGGAACACAAAGGCTATAGGGAGTACTGGAAACCTGACTCAATGAGACTTTGTGTGCATGAAAACATTTTATTGCTTACACAAGGTTCTTTCTAGATCCAAGCCTATGAATATGATCCTATGAATGGGGCTTCCCTTAAAGAATATCTAGAAGTTTCAACGAATGCAAAATGCAGTGGTGCACGCAGTTGTGTATGTTATTAGAAAAGTACACTCTTATGCTCTGTGAGTTACATTGGTTGCCAGTTTGCTTCCAGTCCAATTCACAATGTTGGTTTTAACCTTTAAAGCCCTTCATGGCAGGGTTTGGGTTACCTGACGGACTGCCTCTTTAAATGTATACCTGCCCAACCTATCGGGTCTGATAGAAAGCATACTGCAGGTTCCATCCACAAGGGACTTATGCTTGGTGAGCTTCTCTACCATGGCACCTCTGTCAATAGGACTGGGGTCTCAGGAAACGAAATCTTATGATAGCTCTATCACTGTGGGTGATTCACTTTCTCCTGTGCAGTGTGTTTTTTTAATGATGAGTGTTTTATACTTTCAATAATAATTTTTTTTATGTATTTGTTTTAACTAATTGTACATAGCCCAGAGTCATTCTTGTGGAATGGGCAGTCATATAAATGAGATAGATAGATAGATAGATAGATAGATAGATAGATAGATAGATAGATAGAGAGAGAGAGAGAGAGAGAGAGAGAGAGAGAGAGAGAGAGAGAGAGGACAGACTGACTGACTGACTGACTTTTCAGAAGTAAACACTTCTTGTTCAATTAAATTCACTCTCAAACAGGATTATAACCTAAAGAATAACAACATAAAAATACCTATGTATCAATACATGCAACATATATTCCACTGGTTTATTGACAGTTCTTGCTTCTTTTTTTAAAAAAACACAATTCATTTTACTGAAAGATTATCTTTATCACACAGAAATAAGCATCCTTTTTCATTTAAATGTTCAGCTAATGCAAACTTTCAAGTATGAATTATAGTCCTAAGTGAATAGGCTATCGAACACAATAAGGTGAATTCGGAACTGAAAGCTATCACTCAGCAAAGGTATTGTGATTAATATAATATTACAAGAGTATTCAATATTTATTGCTAGGCAGTCAATAAGCCTTGCAGACTGAATAAATAATCTCTGGAAAAAAGATATTCTTACAAGTGAACAAGCAATTATTCATGTGTGTATTTGTATCCATAAAATTACTAAGACTTAAGATTAATTTAAATGCTTTTTAAAATTATAATGGTATTATACACCTCTTCCCAGTACACTCAAAATTAGTTCTGTATCCACTGAGTTTAATAAACTGCAAATGAATTCCACTTGATAATCCTTCAAACAAAAGGAAAAAACTCTCATTCTATTAACAGTGGTAAATCACATTATAAATAACTAATTATTTCAATCAGCTTATCAACCATTCTAAATAAATTATGTCCACGTAGAACAACAGCAACACAATGTAAATAATATTTATAGTTACAGTAGAACCTCTGGTCACGAACGCTTCTGACCACAACCAAATCGGGTTCCAACCAAAAAATTCACCCAAAAAATATTTTTTTCGCAGCCGATTTCCCCTTCCGCGCCATTTTTTTTTGTAAGCGCCAAATTTCCAAAATTAGGTTCAGGTAACAACCAAATCGGTTTGCGACCAAAGTTATGGAAAAAATTATGGTCATGACCAGAAGTTCTGCTGTATCTCTATAAATACACCTATTAGCACATCCACATTGTTATTCTTCAGAAGTACTAGTGATACCATGAATAATGATTAAGATTTACTTCATAGTAAATTTTCATTCTAAATCAGGTATTAAATAAGTGAAGTCTTTTTATTTTTATTTTTAATGCGACTCTGGTACTGTTTCCTATTTTTCTTTGCACTTTCAATACAATTTTATCACAGTGCAAAGCTGTTTTTTCTTCCAAATCTGAAACCTCTTTATTTTTTTCTTCCCCACCTAAAAATGCTCTGCAAAACATAGACGTCAATCAAATTTAAGAATTCATGTATTGTAAGGCTAAACTGCTCTAGCTACAATATACAGCAATATAATAAAAAAGCATGCCTTGCATATGATTATGAAACAAAAGAACTTTTGGAGAAATATGTCCACTTGAAATCTGAAATCCCAAATTACAAAATTGGAGTGTACTATTTAAGCAGTCAAATTCAGTCCTGTAATCCGATGAAAACACCCCAAGCAATTAGTTAATTAGCCTCCACTAACACACACAACAAAGGGGAGACTATCACTTATCTGAGGAATTGGCTCTACTGTTAAACTGTTCTCACTGTTAGAAAACCTTTTCTAATTAAGTCAGAATGTATCTTTCTGCCCTGAATTGTTCTTTCTGACACCATTTCATATATTTGGAGATTGTATCCTCCCTATCATCATTTTTAAGACTAAGCATACCTAGCTCCTTAGAACTGTCTTCATACCGTAGTACTTCATAGTCCCCTGATCATCCTCAATATCATTCTCTTAACTTGTCACAATTACTCTGAATTTTTCTTCTAAGTGCAGTATTCAGAATTGAGAGCAACATGAGGTGGGTCTGACTAAAGCAAAATAAAATGGAAAGAATGCATTATTTGGACATTATACTTCTGCTGATACAGTCTAAAATTGCACTTATTTTCTTTGCATCCACATTATACTGCTTTCTCATAAATAGAGTACATCAGTGGTGGGTTCTAACCAGTTTTACCACCGGTTCGCATCGTGCATGCGCTTTGCGCGCAATCACCGTGCACGTCCTCGCTTCGCTCGCACAGGCGCCAAGGTTCATTTCATTACTTCCAGCCTACTTCAGCCTATTTTGATCACTTTCAATGTTGTTGCTAATGTTTTAACTATCCTAGCTAATTTTGTAGCATCTATAAATCTGATAGGAATTCCTTCCATCTCTTAAACTAAGTTACTTAGAAAAATATTGAAGATACCAGATCTAGGACTGATCCATATAGCACCTGCTCAATATCTCACTTCAGTATTCAGTCGTAGCACCGATGAGCATTCTCTGAGTACAATTTGGAACCAAATGTATAGCCATATGTAAGTAAATTGGTAAACAGCTTGTTTTGAATTGCTCTGTTGAAAGTCAAGATACATAATGACTATAGCATTTCCATAATCTATTAAGAAAATTACCTGATCAAAAATGAGATAAGATTAAATCTGCCATCCCAGCACCCCATGGTCATATGATCCCAATCTAGGTGCTTGGCAACCAGTTGATACATCCAGTTGTAGCACCCTGAAATCACATGATTATCATTTGCAACTTTCCTTGCCAGCTTCCCCAGAAAGTAGGGAACACAGTAGGGAACACAGCAGGAAAGGCCACAAGTTGCTGGAGTAAATCTTTCCCACCCACATGATGCCCCCCTCCCAGCCTCTCTGTGCTCTGCCATACTGGTACTCGCATGCCTTGTGCATCCTGCCCAACTCATATCCCAATCTCTTCTCATGCTTCTGACACACACCTTTCAACCTCCCCAACTCACACATCTTGTGCACCTCACACTGTTGCGCAACCTCCCCTCCCCCTCCCCTCCCCAGCCCAAACCAAACCTCTCATGTACTCTCTTGCATCCGCCCCCACAATTCACACCTCACCTCACCTCTTGCACATTCCTTTACACCAGGGCTGTTAAACTCGCGGCCCTTAGGCTTGCAGCCCTTGTCATGCACTGGCCATGCCCATGCCCGGTTTAGCGAAGGGAGAAAAAGTTGTGATACGTGACGTGACGCCAGGATGATGATGTGAGTTTGACACTCATGCTTTACACCCACCCTGACCTGGGCACTTGCCACTTTTTTTTTTTTTTTTTTTTTGCTTTAATTTATATGCCGCCCTTCTCCGGAGACTCAGGGCAGCTTACAATGCATTAAGCAATAGCCTTCATACATTTGTATATTTATACAAAGTCAGTTTATTGCCCCCACAATCTGGGTCCTCATTTCACCTACCTTTGAAAGGATGGAAGGCTGAGTCAACCTTGAGCCTGGTGAGATTTGAACTTGCAGTAATTGCAAGCAGCAGATGTTAATAACAGTGCTTTAGTCCACCGTACTACAGGCTCTTCCTCTTATGCATCCTTCCAACCCATGCTGCACCTCTCAAGGATTCCCTCACATCCTCCCCAAACCCTTGCTATACCCTCATGCACCCTCTCCAATCCATGTCTCACACATCGGCTCACTTTCCAACCCTCATGACACCTCTCACATGCCTCTTGCAAACTCTCCCCAACCATCACAATTTCTCCCTCGCACCTCCATGTGCCATCTTGCTTTCTCCCAAACTCAGCAGTAGCCACTTACCTGCCTGCTGGCCTGGGACTTGCAACTTCCTGTCAGTTTCCCCACTGACTTAAGCCAAGGAAGTTGCCTTGCTTAATGGTCATAAAATTTGATTAACAATAGCAACTCAGACTGCAGGAATTGCCATTTCTAAATGATGCAGTCATGCTTTACAAGCGCACTGCTTAGCGACCAAAATTCAGATCCCAATTGCAATTGTAAGTCAAGGACAATTTGTATAACTTCACATAAATATTGTCTAAAATCATTAAGTAATATTATGAAGAAGCTCAACTGCCAAATATGTTATGATCAAATACTCAATGCACCACACAAACTGTTAAAATATCATGGAAATTATTAAAATTAATGTTCTTATCAAACAAAGACTGCTAATAAGTCTCTACATTAATCAGTATTCTACTATGGTCTTTTGGCATTAAGAGAATTCTGCTGCAGAATTCTTAATATTCAGCTGTGGTAAATACAAATATAATACCTACGCTAAGAAAAGGCTTTGTTACGGATATAATACAGTGGATGGCTTATTGCAAGTGTGTGAAGTGCAACATATACAAACAAAATGATGTGTTTCTTTAGCATGCCTAATCTACTATGAGTTCAGGAATCACTGAAGTTATACTAGTTTTGTTCCTATACAAGTTCAGAAAGGCACGCATGTGCTCACAAGGAGGCAAGTGAAAATATGAAATGCCAAAACATCATGTCACAAATCCTACGACTTAAATATAATGAAAATAATCAAGTATGATACAATAGACTTTGCATCATGACATTTTGTCATCTTTCCATCATTAATTGTAATTAGTCATATACTTCTATGGAAAAGTGATACTTTCCTGGGAAAGTTTGCTGTTCATAGTTGTACCAACCAAGTTTTCAAAGAATCACATTCTTCAACTCCTAACTCCGAACACTGCTAACATTTTTAAAATGAGCATACAGGTAGTCCTCGAGTTACGACCACAATTGAGCTCAAAGTTTATGTTGCTAAGTGAAACACTTTTAGTGAGTTTTGCCCCATTTTACAACATTTCTTGTCACCATTGTTAAGTGAAACATTGCAGTTGTTAGTTAAGTGAATCTGGCTTCCACATTGATTTTGCTTGTCAAAAGGGGATCACGTGACCCCAGGACACTGCAACCATCATAAATATGAACCAGTTGCCAAGCATCTGAATTTTGATCATGTGACCATGAGGATGCTGCAATGTGAAAAATGGTCATAGGTCACATTTTTCTGTGCCATTGTAACTTTGAACATTAACTAAATGAACAGTTGTAAGTCAAGGACTACCTGTATAGCATGATACTGTTCCGGGTTATTCTCATTTTTTTCTCTTTTAACTGGAACCAATCAAACCAAGTAAAATGTTTTCTGGTAGAATATTAAGTTCAGTTCTAAGAAGTATTAACTTTATCATGACTGGTCTAATAACAAAGCTGTCTCATCATGATTCATCCAACACTTAGCATAATACTGATATCTCAGCTGTTTATAACATGACTTCTAGCACATACCGTTTTGTCTTGCACCAACAGCAGAAATTATAACTGGAACTGAACAGTGACTAAGTGTTTTCTTTATCAGTGGTGCATAAATATCTTTTACTTCTTGAAATGAAGACTTGTCATTTACAGAATATTTAATCACAATGATATCTGCTTCTCCAATGAGGTTCCGAGATGTGTACCAGTCACTTTCAAAAATATCCTATATACAAAACAAAAAGATGGAGCTAAATTCCATTTTTTTATTGATCAAGAGATGAGAGCACACAACTGCATAATAACTGAAAGTTTACTAAAACTTAGGATACATTTCTTTTGGGGATATTAAAAATGTGTACAGTGTCTGCAATAAATCAATTTGTTCAAACTTCATCTTGCTTCCTATGTCTTGCCTGCAGCAAACTTTATGTTAATAAGTCCGTTTTACAGTTATGAGTTTGTATACATAGGGTGACTAGATGAAACTAACAGTTAACAGCTGTAAAGAATTTCCAATCCAGCTGTCTAAATTTTAAAATGAATTTTCTATTCAATTATTGATACATTTTATATATAAAATACATGCATCAAAACTACTACTCATTTTAGTTAATTATAGCAATATCAGTTTATTGGTGCAGAACATTTTGAAAGCAGAAGCATTTGACTTTTAAAACGTTATCCTTACTGGAAATTGAAGAAAAGGTATAACTGAAAACCCTGACCTGGATTTACTGGATAAATAACTGCCATTAGTTCTTCATTTCTGAAGATCAATAAAACCAGAAATCAATTGCTAAAATTCCTAACAAAAACAGTGCTCTTTTTTTTAAAGGTTGTTCCAACCTCCTTTAATGATTGAAGAGCAAACAAAACATTTTACAAGGGCAATTAGAAATACCTTTTCTGAGATACTGAACGTGCCAACTTAGGTTTTCCTACATTTTTCCAGCATTTACGAATACCATTGTACCCTTTGATCACTCCACCTTTTATTACAACCTTTATAATGCTTTCAAAGTTCAGGTTAGAATCATGATACATTTATTCTTATAAGAAATTGAAGTTCAATTGTTTTTCCTGTAACATTCTGGAAAGCTCATTACTTTAGAAATGAAAGTTAGTCTAATGCCCTTATTGTCAGCTGATGAAAACTTTAGGCCTACTATGAGTGAATTTTTTGTTTTGTTAGGTTGTAGTATCACAATTGGAAGGACTTCAGAAATCACAAAATTTGAAAACTCAATTAGATTGTCCAATATTTTAAGTAACTGAGAAAAAAGAGAACATAGACTAAGTTCAGAATGTTCAGAGGTATGAGGAATACCTGCGAGCGGGGATGGAATGGAAAAGAAAGACAAAAGGTATGCAGGAACAATATTAAGAGAAGACACAGAAAAGACCGTAGGAATAACAAAATTGAAAACACATAATGTAGTTTGACATAATGAATATTCAGAAGTTTTACACTATGAATATCATGGACTGTATACACTTCTCAATCCACATTCTGAACCTAACAAATTATCCATTAGGAAATATTAGTGTTGAAATTCCTAGATTTTTACACATGCAAGATATTGCTTAACCAATGACAGATATTCCTAGATATTGTCTCTCTATTTCAAAGATTCAGAGATCCTTATTCACATACAGGCAAAAATCGTGAGGTGGGATTAGAATCATTAGAAAATAGCAAACATTCCATCTTAGTACAAATTAACATGGTAAATACCACAAGCAATGCCTGATTTATATGTATGTAGAACACTTTACAAACTGCTGGCAAAATAATGACCTCCATAAAAAGTTAATCTCAGATGCAGTTCTATTTCTGAAATCTTATATAAGACATGTAAGTAATGGTTGAAATGTACTTTTGAGACAAAAATACAGGATCACCAGGATCGATAATTTTCAATTATCTGTGTTTGCATGTAAATGTATGAATTTAAAGTTAGTATGTAAACTTACGGCATGTTTTCATAATCACTTGGCACAGACAATTACTTTCAAATGTGCCCCAATTACTCTTCTGTCCCATTAGAAGACTTGAGTATTAAATAGATTTTTTCCCCAAAGTTATCTATGCATATATCATATACAACACATTTCATGGGTGGGGGAGAGAAAGGGTGGACTGAAGCTGAGTATCGATCCAGTAAATATAGATCCTAGATGTCATCATCAGAATAAATTAGAAAAAGTGGTTTTGAGCATGTCTCTTCAAGCAAAAGTATTTTAACTAATTCTTTGTATTAATTAGCTATTAAACCTGTCCCATCTCCAGACAGGAAACCCTAATCCTAAGTGAAACTTCTATAAAAGAAATCCTTTTGGCTCAGACAACTGCAGTGGTTATAATACTGTAGTGTTATATAATTCTACTATTCAATAATGTGGGTGACAATAGCGTGAAAAACAACACTGTGGTAAGAATGATAAGAACTGACTCATTACCTATCCCTCTTGTTTAGCTTACTTTCTTAGTTTTCCTGACCACCCTGCAGATAGTGATTACTTCTGCTGTGCTGTCCTGGTATTCTAAAAATACATTCACCCTAATATTCCTTTTAACCTCTTTATGTCACAGATTGGAAGCATATCATTTACATTATAAAGGATTATTTTATCATTTAAAATTAAAACTCTAGGAATATCGTCCACAACTATCAGATAGTTTCAGGGGATTAAAATATGTTATCTATCAACAATAACTAAGATAAGCAGCATTTCAGTTGTAAAGATTATAATACCAATATAATCTGATAATATTGATAGACTTTCATAGAAATGTAGCTCTCTGCTATTTCAGATACTGTATTTCTTGTATTTAAAATTTAAACTACAAGCTATTTATTCACATCCATATAAATCACTCAAAATCTCACATAAAGATATGAATCTAGGTAGTTCCTTATAAGAATTCTAATACTAACATCAAAAACATAACTAAAAGCTATTTTTTGCATAATTAAGAAAAATAACTGTCAATTTTTACAAGTTTACATTCATGCAGTACAAATAATATTCTAAGCTGAAAGTTAAACAATTTGCTTTTAGAAAAAGATCCAAATTAAAATTTAACATTGAAAAACCATATTATATTCTATTGGTTTCAGTAAAAAGTGTTTTATTCTATGACAAAAAACTGTTTCAATATAGGAATAAAAATACTTTATATATTTTAAGCTTATCAGATACCCCAAAATATATTCAACCAGGAGCAATCTGTAAAAGATTCAACTCTCTTTTTTATCTAATTCAACATATTAAGGGGTGAATACTATTTTAACACTTGGCCCAGATTATAGTAAAACTACAATTCTACACATGATTGCAGTGAAATAAGTCTAATGGAATACTTTGAGACTTAGATACTTCAGAATAGACATATTTAAAACTAATCTATAACTTTTTTTACTACATTCTCTTACCCAGAGAGGACAGTCATGTACCACCAATCTGACATTTCCAAACACACAAGCTTGATACTCGGTGAATGCAGGATTTCTAAGGTAACTGGCAGAGTTTAGTAACAAATTACTGTCAGTCTCTGAAACTAAAGCACTTCTCCCAAGATAGGTCCAGATCAAACTCTTCTGCTGATCATCCTCGGAAAATCCATCTCTTTCATTACCAAAGGCTACAATGTGAACAGACCTACAAATAAATAACATTTCAATGTGTTGAATTAAACATTTACTAAAACAAAAGTAAGAAAATATAGGGCGGGGAAAAGAGGAAAACCAAATTATATATATATTAAAAAATAGACACATAGACCGGTGTACACTGATATAAATATATATTAAAAAATAGACACATAGACCGGTGTACACTGATATAAATATAGACGCACAGATATATTTGATTTTAGCGGATTCCTAACGCTAAAGGAACAAACAATAATCCACATACATGATTTTAAATCCAGAAGCACGAAAGCAAATTTCCTTGGAACTCCACAAAAGCTGCTTGCATTACAAATCCAAAGCCGTTTGAATGTATTCTTCCTCCATTTCCTGAGGCTCTTTCATTCACCTAGTCGCAATCGCGGTTGCTCTGGGGAGTTTCCGTTCATGTCTTGTTGAGCAATCTTGTCTCTGTAAGTCAGAAAGAGGGTTAGCTCCGTGACAATAGCTTGCTTGCTTGCTGTGCTGAAGATGAAATTAGCACATAAACTCAGCAACTACAAGCCTCAAGCTCAGCCATTGCCTCGTGACGTCAGTATACGCTACCAACAAAGAATATTAACATCCGCAAAAGGAAGAGCGCTCTATGTTTCTGCAAAGCCTGATACAATCAGGTGAAAACCCACACACATAAACTACAGCTTTGGGAAGGGTAGCATCTCACTGAACAGAAGGAGACTACGTGATATATTGCTGCTGCTGAAAAGAGATGCATAATAAATCCATGAGCTCACTGGCAGCCAATCCACTTCCAGAGTTGCCATATGCAAGAAGTCAGGCAGATCAAGTTAAGAGAGATGTCAACATTCTAGAAAAGAAATGTCTCCAATTTAAAATACCTTCCACTTGCACAAGACAGTAGCAGTTTTTAAAACAGCAGGAATACAGAACCTTTCAGATTTCACATTGTGCTGTTTATTATCAACTAGCAGGCTAACGTTAATTTTTACTTAATCTTAAAATAATCTGTTGGATGCATTTTTCAAAAAGTTTGCAATGATTTCCTTATTTCCTATGATCAGTTGAAACAAATGTCATTTTGAAAAAGAAAAAAATGAGCATTTTAATTTCAGCATTTGCCCTCCCCTAGGCACATCTATAAATTAATAATATTATAGAAATATCATTGTCAATAAAACTCCTGAAGGAATATTTCAATTACAAACTCTGGTATTTACATGAAAGGCAGAGAAAAAGACCTTTCATATATATTTAATATAGTAGTTAAATCTGTATTGCTAAAATGGGGGGAAATCATGCAACATTATTTCATTTTCCCCCAAATTGCTAAAGTATAGTTATTCAGCCTTGAAATGTAAAACAAGTTAGGTTTACAGTAACTTTAACAGACAATAAAACATATTTTTCAATTGATTTATTTTCCAAAATTTCAAATATGTTATTCAGAAAACAACTTGCTTAATTTAATGAATTTAGCATAGTATACATAGCAAATATATTATTTAACCTACTGTCATTGTGCAACCAAAGAGGCATTCTCTAGCCCAAGAGGTAAATACTGGCAAACTTGGGGTTACAAAACAAATGTTGAGGAGAAAATCTGGTAACTCAAAACAGCCCAGTAAGTACTAAGAATATGCAATGTATACTGACTGTTGCAGGTCAGAACATAACATGAGCAATTAAGGGAGGAATTGTATTTTTGATGAAAGGCCTGGAATTCTAACAAAATAAATGTTAATAATAAAATAACTCCAATTAAAGATGATCCACAGTAGCTTATTATTTGTCCCACTTTTGGAAAAACAAATTCTGGGAAAACACTGTTTTACACACTAAACATTCCCAAAGGATTCTGGAAAGTTTGGCCACACATACAAATATCCTCAAATGGAGCCAAAAGCCTGCAGGGGAGCTATCATTATAATACTTCATATCCCCTGTGAATTAAGACAGCCAAAGAAATATATCTTTATTTCTATTTCAATACTTCGGTCCTTTTATTTTGGTTTTTTCTTTCTGTTTAACCCAATTGGAGTTGGGAGTTAACTGTGCCAATTCCAGGCTGATAAATTTTGTCAGCTGCTATTGGGTAACTGTCAAAGACCCATAGGAGGCTTAGGCTCCTATGGGTCTTTGGCTAATAATGACATGCCTGTTCTAGTTGATGTTGCAGGCAGGGAATGTTATATAAGTAAACTTGGTCATCTTTGTTCACCATAATGGGATCTGTAATTTCCTAGACAAGAAAATGCTGTGCAAAGTTAAAAATAAAGCACAGCCTTAAGCTTCATGTTTGTTTGTTTGTATGTATGCTTGCATGTATTGTACAGACAGAACCAACAAAGATATGCAGTTAGAACTTAGCGCTAAAAAACATACAGTGCAGTATCCAAAAATATTATAAACTCTTATTAGTCTTCTAAAAGACATTAAAAGCAATAAAATTAAGATTGTTTGTTGCAAGCCAGTATGTTTTATTAAAGTATTAATATGCATGTCTGCTCAAAACTATATGAATTTCTAATATAAATCAATGTAAATTAAATTGTTTTTTCCTTAGTAATGTATATTAACTGCTATAAATCTGTCTAACCTGATATCCTTTATTGTTGTATAAGTAGTTTAACAACCATAATTAACCAGATGTTGAGCTAAGTGGTCGCTAAGTGAAACTGTGACCATACTTACCCTTACTTCAACCTTGCTTTACAAACCAAGTCATAAATGCAAGAACTGGTTGTAAAGTTACTTTTTTAATCACTGTTGAGCTGTGAACAGTTGCTAAATGAATTACTTGCTAAACATAGATTACCTACAGCTTAGTCTTTATTATAAATGTTTAACTATCCACTGTAGCTTATTCCCAGATCTCTTGAATAAAGGAGTCAAGCTACAGTCAAAATACAGCACATAAAATGAAAGCCTAAACATGCACATTAATTTTAATCTGATAATTCAGTTATAAAAATAAGTGTCATAACAATATCTATTACTTTAACCACCCACTGTAGCCTGATAACAAATTTGAGATAATATTCCAGCCTGGAATATAGATTTATGACCTAAACAAACATCAATGTGATCTCTCTCATATTACAGTAATAAAGCAAGATGTTAAAATGGAACTCAACGTTTCTCTCTTGTCATACCAAAATTAGTAGAGAGACGAAAGCATTTTTAAAAGAAATTTATTTCAGATTTTATATGATAAAATCAAACTTATAGAGAAAATAGAAATCTTTTATTTTGTTTGAATATAAAAATAACTTGAGAGCTCTTATAAAGAATAGAGTTGTACATAATTCTAAAACAAATCTACTAGCAGCATGTTTATTAAGTACGGTACTTTCTGCATTTAAAGAGGATACTTTGAAACAAAGAAAAATCATTTTGAAACACAAAAAATGGGAAGGCACAAAATATCAATGTCTGAATCACAAGCACTGCTGCTTCATTTCATTTTAAATCTCTTCATTCAAAATCTGATAACTCTAACATTGCAATTATTTTTTGCAGAATTGTGTCCATAATTTGTTGCAGATGACCTGAAGAATGATTTGTATACAATGAATATTACTGATGTAAAGTTAGGGAAGTTTTATTGGGCAAGATGCTTTTCATTAATTAGATTTTAATGAGAAAGTGATTTTAATGGGAAAGTGGCTCTATCCCTCCCTCCCTCCATGGCAGAAAATAATGACAGTGCCAGTGGCTTTTAACATTGACTACAAGGTAATCCCATCAGATAAATTAGAATAATAGAAACGATTTTTTCCTGTGACTTTACTTAGGAAGATGAAGCATTAAAAATCTGCCTGATTATTATTAATAGTAATAATAATTCATGTTGCCTGACTTCCAGCAATATTTTTCTTCATGGCAATACTTAGATAGAAATGAGTCACTATCCCACTTCCATTGTTTCAAAAGGAAGAAAAATTTAATCGGAATTTTTTTTTCCTATTTCCAAATACAGCATATTTCTGTAGTGTTTAGATTCATGTGTATTTAAGAAGGTACATCTGAAAGAAATTGATACCTGTAGTCTACAGAAAAGAGAAAAACATCCTTAGGAAATTCTATCGGGATTTTTTTTTAAAAAAAGAATACAAATATGCAAAGCTTTATTTTCTTGCTATTTTTAATTTAGAGATCGTGTTTTAACATATTAAAACTCCATCCCATAAATGTTCCCCTTTAGGGGAGAGATGGGAAGAAGATGCTGACTGCCTCGGTAAATGGGACGGCGACAATGTGGATTCTCAGCTATTCCCACGACACGGACGGGAGGAAAAAACTTTCGATGCTTCCCACGTCAGTCAGGTAACCTATAAATAATTTAGCAATAAAGCTCGGCCCGCCAGCGCTTCCTCAAAGGCCGCGCCCCGCCATGAGGTGCAGGGGTCAAACGCGGCGGTCAGCGAGCAAAGCAGCCACCGCGGCCTCGCTCGTCGCCCGCGCTGCCCCCTCAGAAGCAAAAACGGCTCCTCGCGTTCTCCGGTTGCCTTGGATACCAGGCGGAGGCCTTCTTTCTCTGCAGCCTTCAGCCGTTTGCCGCCATTCGGAGGAACGCGTGCCGCCGAAGACCGGTTGCGGTGGCATAGCATTTCGCCCTTTCTCTTCCCTCTCCGGGCCGAGTAGCCCTGACATGCGCCGAGCAAAGGCCCCGTGGGGCGCCTCGATGCTGCGGTGCGCGGTTAGCTGCCGCCAGTACTGGAGGACCGTGGGCCAGCCGGAGGGGATCGTGTCGGAGCAGGACACGGACCATCATTTCGTGCATCGAAGCACCATTCCTACCATGCATTTCCAGCCCAGCTTGCCCAGGTTCCTCTGCCGTTCACCAAGTTTCATGGAAATTGGGGGTGGGATGGGGGGGGGAGTAAGCGGACTTCGAGTACATCGAAAACATCCTTCCTTCTCCCTTTCCCGCCATTCTTGCAGTGTAGCTGGATCACTCGGTTATAGGGGAAAAACACTTCGATGCCGCATTTCTCACAGACTCTTTGTGAATGTAACCCAAACAGTACTATTTAAGCCGTTGGGCCTCTTTCAAAAACAGCATCCGGTTGCCGTTGGAGCAGAGCGCTGAGCTCGGGGTTTGACAGAGGCCTGCGATAGCTTCTCCTTTTTCTAATGTAGCTCTCCTATGAAGATCCCCATACAAAGCCCAATAATCTCTTTCTGCCCTATCATATTGTCGAAGCAAAAACGTCCACGCTCAGGTGTCCTCCTCCAATATTTCATAAATCCAGACAAAAATATTATTCAAGGAAGTTCCCCTGGAGAGTCCAATGAGGCAAGCATTTATTGGGAGGAGGAATTACTCAGTACTACTTGGTCTGCTGTTTTTTGAAGAGAAACGGGATGAAAAAAATGATCTGAGAATGCCAGGTGCCGGAGGTGTGTGTACCTGCCTATGCATATAGGTTACCTGAGCTAACAGGCAT